TTTCTTTAAACTGGAAAATGGAAAAAAAAAAACACATCAGATAAGCTTGACACATAAAAAATACAGTACATCGCAGCAAAAAAGAGTCAACTACTTTTGTTTTTGATGAGCCTTTCTTACAAAGCAAAAAAAAAAATGAAATAGACAGTCTAGTCTGTTGAGTCATGTTCTTGCAGATTCTGAGGCAGAGAGCAGTACAAATCAAAAACAGAGGCCCTTTTCTCGAGGGAGAAGCGTTTCATGTTCAGTACTCTTATCTGTACCTTGTGTTAACCCTCAAAGAGCTGGGCCGTGTGATCATGACAAACAAAGTTGACATCATATCTTGGTCCCAATTGTTGAGCAATTGAGCGACTGCTGTTGATTCTTTTGCTAACTATGGTGTTGCTGCGGTTACCATGACCCGGTTTGGTGCATCATACCTTGTCTCCAGCATCGGGGTTCTTGTCAGGATGGTACTCCTTGGCCAATTTGCGGTAGGCCTGTAATAAATCAAATATCAACGTGAACAAAGCTGTGTGACTGCCCTGAGCTCAGGTGCCAACTTAGTTAAATAGCACCGCAAGCAAAATCACTAAGTATATTACCTGTCCTCACCAGCCTTACAAGCCCAGGGCTTGACTTGTGGGCCTGCTGTCAAAAACATCAGGACACCGGCAGGAGCATCGCTGCCTTTGACATCTCACACACTCACGAAAATCTTCATCTTTTGAGTTTACCTGCTTTACCAGCTGGGATAATAACTGTCATGATCTTCTGGGAAATCCAGGATCTATTATCATAGTACTAAAAGCACTTTATTTTGACATAAAAAAAAAAAAGGTTTTTAAAAATTAATCACACAGTTAGTTGGTTAGTTAGTTGCTACCGCCCAGCATATTATATTTTAGGTAAGAAAAACAGATGGGATTGTTTTACAATACTTAAAGATCGTATTACATTTAACGAGTTATTGGATTGGTTTAAATCACAGACTACAAAACGAATATACAAAGTGGTAACTAACATGATAAAATGTCTCAATTCGGCTGTAGGTTTGTGTATCATAAACAATTCGTAACAACTGCCTGATGTTTGAATGGAGTTTAAACTACACAGCGACGCGTATGTTGGCTAACTACGCTAAGTACACAGTAGTTAGCGACGCGGTGCCTGAAATTAACGTTATCTTAGAAATCACACATAACTCGAGATTAATCTCACGGCACGTTGAGCTTCACCAAATGTTAAACCAGCGCCACAAACACACAAGCAGATTCCTATTCTTGCTATATATATATATATTTTATATATCTAAGGTGAGCTGTTGGGCTAACTTGCGTCGTTACTGCTCGACTTGGCTGCGGCTATTTGCTGGAATGTAACGTTAACGTTGGTTCTCCTCTAACGTTAGTAGCCGGTAAAGCTAACGTTATCACACTCGTGGTCACCTGAGTATTTCTTGGTTTTTTTTCCGGGCTGGCTCAGTTTCATTCTTCTAATTTACACAGAGGCGATGAAGAGTATTGTCCACACTTCACCGATCACAATGAGTAAAGCTCGCTTAAATTGCTTTTTTGGGGGAAAAGTGCTGAACAGTTATCGATGGTAGCTAGCTTAGCTTACTGGCTAGGCTAGCAAACTCGTAAGCTACTGCGGTGCATCTTTAGCTAAACTAGCTCACGTTGATTAGCTTGTTCTGTAGGCCACACTTCAACGGTGGCCTCTCTTCCTTTTCTATTCTTTTTTTATTCATTTCCTACCTCAATACATTCCCCCCTTTTTTGTTTTTCCTTTCAGTCAAGGGGCCACGTACCTTTTTTAGTTCATTTTCAGAGGCAGATGGTGAAACTCCCAGGATGTCGTACAGCTTAGTATCCACAACGTTCGCCATGATGCTAGCCGGTGACACAGAAAGAGCTTCTGCGGAGGTTTCAGCCGAGAGAGGAGCCGACGCAAGATCCACCGGCCGGGATTGAACCAGGGTTGCCAGATACTACGACAGACACAAACACCCACTCGGAAACAGATGCCAGAAAAAAAAAGAAAGAAAAAAAAAGCAGCGACCATGCAATTGCGAAAACAGTTGCAGGAATGTGTTCATATTAATTGTGTTGTTATTGTTTTTATTATTATTTTATTGTTGAGTATTTATAGCCTACAAAATGGTACGTTATATATATATTTTAAAAAAACACACCTTTTATTATTATTATTAGTGTGTTGAAATGCACATGCGCGTAAGAGTGCGTACTTTAGGTTGAAATGACTTTTTTAATTCCCAATTAATGCACAAAATTCCGAATCTGAATCAGCTTTATTGGTCAGGTATGTGCACACATACAAGGGATTTGCTTTCAATGTACATACACAGACTATAAGTATAAATAAACAGGACAACAAGCTCAACAAAAGAGACATTAAACTACTATATACACTTATATATAAACTACTATCTACAGTTAAACTACTATGTACAGTTATACACTACACATGTATCTAGTAGTCTGTGTATGTAAATATATATATAAACAAACAAAAATAACATTTGTTGACAGTAGACAATAGTGCAGAGTGCAAAGGATGCTGAAATAAATGTTTACGTGCAGGTTTGTTTATGTACATTGTAAATAGCTTTCCTGTACAGTTTAGATCTTTATATCTTTATCTTTATTTATTTATATTTTTAAAAAGTAGTTTATTTTTGTGTGATTTTTATGCACCAATGTAAAATGTAAAAACTTACTTGGCAATAAACCCAATTCTGATTCTGATTATGATTGTGACAGTAAAAACACCTGCTACAAACATTTATTCAAATGTGTTTATTAATCACCAGAAATGTACTTTGTAGATAAAGTGGAATAAGCTACACTGCACTGTCTGAAGGTCAAACTTCTCCTATGAGTGAATTTTTTATTATAATTCCCCACATTTTGAAGTTTCCAGAGAATACCACCATTTATCTAAGGAAGGTCAATCTGAAAGGCCAATCCATGTGGAGCACTGAATGTGTTAAAGGTATCTTGGGGACTCAGTCAGACTCTTAAGGAGCATTGCAACCATACAGCCCCTGTATTCTGCTTGTTAATCAACAGCTTTAAAGGTTATTTATTTAGAACATTCATATAGCAGCAAACTTATACACTGATGTGCAAGGTAAAATTAAATGTTTTGTCTATGGAGTCTGGTGGTGAGCGATATAACAGCTGTTTACGGTTAAACAATAGGTCTATCTCTGTAGAAATCCTTTCCATAATGTTGTCAGACACTTAACAGTGCAAGCCTTTTAGTGTCAAATACAAGCACTTTTACTGGATGTACTTCAACGGGTGCAGGATTACCTTGCAGCCATTACAGCCCGTTTTGCAAACATAACTCTGTGAATTAAGGGTTTATTTCAACCAAACCAGTGTTGGCGATTGTTGTAAATACTATCAAATATGATTCTGGTGAGTTTTATTTTGTTTCTATTCTTTGTTTTACGATAATCTACAAGGTAAAATTACTGGTGAGATGTAGCACTCATTTGTTTTGGTCTGAGATATTGTGCTTTAGTGTGACATCTAGTGGCAGGACATTTCATGTATACAACCTTTAAGCTTTGCTATTTCATTTGAGGCTATAAAGTCTAATGTCTTCTGGTTATACAGCAACTTTCTGACTTTTCAAATAGTACTTTACCTTAAGGATTATCAATTTTCTGCTGAAATTGAAGGGCCAAGGAAATACACAATCCTACAGAAGTTGTGGAAAGTATCCTTTAGGCCTCAAGTAGTGTTCAGTACAATTTTGAGGTAGGCTTCTTGTACTTTACTTCATGCTACTTTATACCTCTACCCCCCTAGATTTCATAGAAAAATACTCCACTTTTTACTCCACAACCTTTCATGTGTTTTGCAAGTTTTGCAGTCACTGTTGTTTCTCCTACGTGTTTAGAAGTCTAAGATGTTTTTCAATAGGTTGCAATCTGCAGCTTTGCCACTAGACATTAAATTCTACACAATTTTAAGTAAATTATTTGACTATTTCCTACTATTTCATCTACAACTGGCCTACAGATTACCTGGACTCTGCTTTGGTTTTGGCAGGGATTATTATTAACACAGTTTAACATCCCTTCCATTCATGTATTAAGACATAAAAATAGTCTGCTTGGAACAATGTGTGTCTATGTTTTTTTCTGCAAAGAAAAGTCTAATTTCAAAATTAAAATCGGTTAAAAAGGAATCTACACCTTCTACCTCATTAAAAATTCCATAATCTATGAATATGCACATTTTGAAAGATGTCTCCTATTTCACTGGAAAGTCCATTCTTAGTGTATGTGCACTGGTGGCTTCAAGTTTCTGCATCACACTTGTATAAATTGCATCCTGACCAGGACTGACCAGACTATTCATGCTCGTCAGCCCGTCCCTTATATTCAGATTTTCAATGAGCACAGAGAAACTTTCCACTTTCAGCAGATGAACGTGAAAACATCCTTCTAGTGTCAAACTCTGCACACACATATTTCTGCACAGTGAAGCTCCAACATTCGACTGTATGAATAAGATGAAAAATATATTTTTGAGTGGAGGGGGGACTTTAAATATGCTGTATTGTTCAACAACTGTGTTTGCCAGGTGATACCTCTCCACAGTGCTGCTGCAGATGCACATATGGTAAAATAATAATAATGTGCAGACCACAAAGCTAGTTCAGGTGCAGAAAGCCAGAATCACTCTGTACACCAGGTATAATAAGTAATTGCAATTTTTTTGTTATCCTTTTTCTGGGCTCTTGGAGTAGCAAATGTGTCAATAAATCATAAATATATCAATATTTATTCACATCAACATCTTATTGCATCTTCTTTGCAGCAGTAAATTAGAGGTATAAGACAGAAGGGTTTTTGTTTGAGAGATATGAAACCGAACATCACATTTTACTGCAGTGCTTGATGCTGTATCACTCAGTTCCTGACAGCAAACAGCGTTAAATTTTGAGTTGGTCTTGTGTTTACACAGTTGATGGACAGCCGAACTTTTGATTACGTTTTAGGTATCCGCCATTTTGATTTCCAAATTGGACAGATTTTTTGTTTGCCTCGTCTGCTGGAAGTATAATTTGGTGCGTGTCAACACAACCGGCTCGGCGGGCTTAACCACCGTGTGTAACGGCAGTGTAAATGACATTGCAACCGGGGAAAGGGGTAGTGTCTTCGAGCTTAGCAACGCAGTCATGAATAGCCATCTATGGGCCTCTGGGTGACCTGACAGCCAAAGTCGCCGAGTTGCCGTTAAGCTTGCAGATGACGACTGATGAAATGATGAGCACAAGGTAACGGTCGCTTGTTTTAACGGATACAAATTTTAAAAAAATAAATAAATAAATGTAACCTAACGTAAAGTGTTGGTTTAAGTAAAAGTGGTCGGAAGACGGTAACGCTAAGGTCTGTATCAGGAGGACATCGTCCCACTTAGCCACGCAGCCGTGATAATCAACTGGCCAATGTTAGCTATCGATAAACATCGTTCACCGTGTTGAAATAGTTCGGTAACGTTGGCAACGGGATTGAGACGTTTGCTCGCGGGCTGGTTTACGATCTGCATCCCAGGTAAGTGAAAGGCATCCGTCGGTAAACACACTGGAGATAAACGCACCGATAGGACAGATTGGTAACAGTGGATAAGCTAATAGTCTATATAAGCTAACGCGAAGTTACGATAACTGTCTGGATAAGCTAATTAAACTGAATTCACCCTGATATAATGTCCGTTAACCTTGTTATAACTAATATCCGTTAATAGCTAACAGTAACCAGCTGATCTCAGGACGCCAGAAGAGAAAAAGGGGCCCTGTCTTAAAGCTGACCATGATTGTACTGTGGTTTAAAATAAACAAATCTATATCTAGCTATGGGGAAAGGGTGATTTCCCTAAAGTTCGTAGTCTGAGCTCTAAAACACCTGTTTATTTAGCCCTCAAACGTGTTTATTAAAGGGATGGGTATCGTTACACAAGGGCAGCATTGATCGTTCATGTTATGCAATCAATATTAATGATGCTTAGAAAAATGAGCAAGTTATGTTCAAGTCCCACTTCACTGTAAAACGGCACACATATATATTTACCCACGTGTTAGGATTGTGTGAACGCGGATTTTGCGGTATCCGAGATATATCAGTTTTCATGCCGGGGGCCTTGACCACAATTTAACCTCAGTTTAGACAAACACGTAGTGGATCAGCTGCATATTCACCATGGGAATTAACTGTTTAATCCAAAGGATAATGGACTGACTCATAGGTCCATTTTATTAGGATGGCTTCTTCTTTACTGTATCTGTGGTGTCATTTGTTTCAGGGGGGGAAATATCCCTCCCTTAATGCCACTGGCCAGTGACAGCTCCCGTCTCATGTGTCAAGTTTGCACTTTTTAGTAATGCATATGTCAGCAAATGCAAGAATCTGTAGTCCTCCCACAACTCACTGGCTCACACATTTGTTTTCTCCAAACGTGAGTATTCATATCACACACTAAAAGCTAAGTTTCTCCCTGCAACGGGAACATTATCATTATACCAATCATTATTTGCTGATGTAACTGTGTGTGAGGCCATTCTCAAAGCAAGTTGTGTAATGAATGTCAATACAGATGTGCAGCACTAACTCAATTATAGATGCATCGCTTCCTGCTCTTTTCAGAGAGGAGTGCAAGCCTCTGCACTTGCACTGACTTCCACTCTTCACTTGGCTCTAATGAAGACAAATCTAAGGAAGTAAAGCTTTCTGTAACATTAACATGTCGTTGTTGTTTTGTTTTTTTCATTTCTCGTTGCCAGGTTGAAGCCAATCTTTCCTGGGTGTGTTTGTGTGGTGTTAGCATGAGTGAAGTGGGTGTGTTTGTGTCTTCATTGTGTGAATTTACTGATGCTGATTGATGTCCAGGCCATGCGGTGTCAATAAGGCAAATGGCTGTCTAGCAAGATCTGAATAAGGATACTAGTCCTTGTCCAAACGTAAGAGCATACATACATACATACAGTATATTGTATCATAAAATGAATTGTTCTGCCTCATGTGACTGACTTATGCTACATGTGCTGTCAGGATACTTATCACCATGTCACATCCTCTTTTGGCCAACAGCTAAGTGTATGTGCCAGTGACGTCAGCCATGTTTTGGAAGTTTGACTTACACACATCTTCTCACCTGGAGGCTTTACTGGACAAGGAGGATGTCACTCTCATTGAGCTCATGAATGAGGAAGATGTGCTACAAGAGTGCAAGGCCCAGAACAGGAGGTCTGTTTATTGTTAGCTTTAGCATTTCAGCAGCACATTAATATTATTTCAGTTGTCTAGTAATTCCTGCTGGTGCTAACTGGTGCTTCTTTTCTCATCATTGTGGATTTGTAGACTTCTCCAGTTCTTGTGCCAGGACCAGTGCATGCTGGAGCTGGTCCGTATGATTACTACAGAGCCCCCTGTTGGTGTAGAGGAGATCAAGCGCTTCAAGTAGGTGGTTGTGTAGAATGTGCTGATACAGAGTACTGTATGCAGGAAAAAGTGTGTTTTGCTGGTGTAACACCACATCATATCGTTTACCTGCCATTTTGTAGTAAAGATGAGAGCTCAAGTTGGCTCAGCTCTGTAAAAATGGTTGGTTCATGATCCAAACCATTGATAATGCATTTAAAATGTAAAACTAATTAATTGTCTGTTGGATAATCAGAGTTTAAAAATCAGCACAATGCTGTTCCAGAAAACATTATTCTTTCCTGTTTACGTTTACTAAGGTTGATAATGAGAATTGATTTAGTGTCTGCTTTGTTTTAGTAACAGATGTGTTTTCTTTATTTATTACAGGTATCCAAATATAGCATGTGAGCTATTGACATGTGATGTTGGAATGATCAATGATAAGCTGGGTAATGAGGAGCCTCTGCTGGAAACTCTGTATTCCTTGCTGGAGCAGCCATCCCCACTTAACCCCCTCCTGGCATCTTTCTTTAGCAAGACAATAGGGAACCTCATCACACGGAAGACTGAGCAGGTAACACACACACACACACACACACACACACACACACACACACACACACACACACACACACACACAGCTAAATCTAAGGGCATACTCAGAGAAGATGACAGCTATGTTTTTGTGTTGTTGTGATTTAATTCACAAAGTCTGAGGGTTGCTTACAGCAAGAGAATAGAAAATGGTCACTCTGGGAATTACTCTTAATGAAGATGGCTGTAAAGTTAAATTTCTCTTGAGATGCACAAAGCATTGCACATAGGTCAGGGCCTGAAGATGTCAAGGTCAGTAAGCCTGTCCATCTGCCAACTAGCTTCTTGGTTTAAAGCAATATACTGTAGCTTGAAAACTGTCCCGAAGGCTGTGACAGTTGGAATGGATATTTATGTTCTAGTGAGGATGATTTAAAATGAATCTGCTGACCGCTGTGACCTTGACCATTATTTTTAACTTAACAACTAAACTATTAATTGCTGGACTTAAGGAATATTTCTGTGGATATCATTGCCACTTGTATGCAGTTCACCAAAATCATAAAAAAACTATTAGTGATATTTCAGTTATTTATTTTGGATGTACTTGTGTGGAATTGTCGACGCAGCTCATATAAATGTATTTGTGTGTAAATAAAGGAGGATAGGAGTTGTATGTAACGTTTGCGTAATCTATTGCTTGTGATTATGTTTACATAATCTGGTGTTTGTGTGATTCAATGTTGCCAAGTGGCCCTGTGAAACATTTAGTGAGGCAACTCTGAGGACACCTATCTTACCAGAGGCAGCCACTTGATACACTTGCTGGAATTGATTGACACTCATTGTTGGTGACAGGTTTAAAAGGCTCAACCCTGAAGCTAAATGAGTATTGCACACGGAGGAGAGGTGTAGCCGAAACGTCTGTGCTGTGCATAGAAACTGACAGAGCAGGATTAAAAGGGCATTCTGATAGATTAATACTGCGATCTGCAGATTTTTTTTAAATATCTACTTCTTTGAATTGTGTGTTGGAGGTGAATGGGATTTAATTTGTGCTGCTCAAATCACAGAAAAATACTTTGAAAATGTGTGTATCTACAGAAAACATATCCCACTTACTCACAACAATCTTTTCCTATCTAATAACAATAAACAACAAAAATCAAACATTTTCCATTTTGTGACACGGTGTTTCCTCACCTCTCTGTTTTGTTCAGGTGCTTAGTTTCCTGCGACAGAAAGAGGAATTCCTTTCCTTGGTCCTGAAGCATATCGATACATCAGCCATGATGGATGTGCTCCTAAGACTTATCAGCTGTGTGGAGCCACCCCCCCTTCGACTTGATACGCTTACTGTATGAACAAATTAACCCACGTTCATCATTTTACACGTTACACACTGATATTGTTTGCAGTTATAATGTGACAATTTTCTCAACAGTGGCTGAATGAAGAGAAGCTCGCCCAGAGGCTCATAGAGCTTATTCATCCTGAGAGAGATGAAGAGGTAGAAGGGCATTTCAGTATTTTTATATCAATGAATAACTAATTTCTGTGATAAAACATACTAATACTAGCACTCACAGGCTCTTGAATATACAATTTACGGGACTGAATGTTCCTGTGTGTGTTTGTTTTTTTTTTCTCTCACAGAGGCAGTCCAATGCATCTCAGACTTTGTGCGACATCATTCGTCTGAGCAGAGACCAGGCCAATCAGCTCCAAGAGATTTCACAGCCTGACCCATTGCTGACTGTGCTGGAGTCGTAAGTCAGACACACACGCATACGCATGCTGGCCTCTCTTTACAGAATATGGAGGCAATGACATACTCCATTGTGTCCCTGCAGGCAGGAGTGTGTGGAGCAGTTGTTACAGAATATGTTCTCAGGAGAGAGTACTGAGAGCTGTATCATCAATGGGATTCAAGTTCTTCTCACATTACTGGAAATCAGGAGGCCTGTGTGAGTGTGACTTTTCAATCGATTTTAAACTGTCAATAAATAATACTATGTAGTTCTACTCTATAAGGGTCGATAATGGCATTTTTCATTTGACTGCTGCCCTCTAATATTTTTCCAAAGTTATCAGGTGGAGTTAGCCAGTGACAGTTTATTAACCCTTCTAACCAATCCATGTCCTGGTTTTAATATGTGTTTGGTTTGTGTTTATGGCAGGGTGGATGGTGTAATGGATGCTCAGGGATTTGAGAGAAGTTACACTGTTAACAGCAGCATTTTGTTGGCCGTCCAGCCACACCTGATACACTTCCACCAGCTACTTCTGGAGCCACCCAAGGTACATAAAGAAAGATATTATCATCTTTAGGGCCTTGATATAAGCTGGCGTAGTATGAGATAACATGCAACCCATCATAAATACATATAATGATAGTTAGATAATAGAAAACTCCTCTGCACGCCATTATACATCTTCCAGGTGCTAGTCACAGGCATGAAAAGCATCAAAAATAGAAAGGGAAAAAAAAGAGAGTTTGTCCTACACCAAAACTCACAAGGGCAAGCTCTTTTACTTGCAGAGAGTGAGGACATGCTATAAATGTATAATATGTTCTAATTTGTACCATGCAGCAACCTCTTTCTTGAATAGTTATCCTTGATTCTCTTCAATTTAGATAACCATTGTTATACAATAGTTGAGCCTATGTTAAAAAGCTCTGCTAAACCTGCAGATAGTATTTTCCATAATTCTTGTATGCCCTCTATCTGTTTATTTTTAGCGAAATCCCATGCTGACTACTCTGGGTGTGCTGGAGGAGCCATTAGGGAACACACGTCTGCACGTAGCCAGACTGGTGGCCTCTCTACTGTATACCAGCTCTGCTAGCCACGCAGTCGTAGCACAGGAACTCTGCCGACTCAATACAATGGACCTGCTTCTGGTGAGATGAGCTAACACGTTACATTTACTATTTGAGTACACGCTTGAGAAATTCACAGCTATTAAATGTCCCACTGGACCCTTTGCCTTTTTTGTATGCCTTTTTATTCAGGACTTGTTTTTCAAGTATACATGGAACAACTTCTTGCACCTCCAAGTGGAGCTTTGTGTTGCTGCCATTCTCCGGCCCTGTGCCCATGAAATGAGACTTCAGCCTGGTTTGGGAGCCCAGGAAAAATTCAAGCCTCACCAGGATGGCTCACAAGAGCAGGCTTTGACTGAAACCCCTTCTGAACCTCCAGTCACCCCTGAAAACTCTGCACATAATCTAATGGTGACTCATGTAGGTGTCTCTGCTTGTGTTTGAAGCAAGAGGCTTATGTGACATTGATCTTATGCCTCTTTCTGAATCAAAACAATTGCTTAACTGTATCTTTGTCTCTCACAAGTTGTTTCAGCACTGTCACCTTGTTCAGAGGATTCTAGAGGCCTGGGAAGAGAATGATAAAATACAGTAAGGAACTTTATTATGAAATTTAATGGTGTGATGTTGTTGTTGCTAACAGGCAGTAGCATATGGGCTTCCCTAAGTGTTGTACTTTTGTGTTCAGGTCAGAAGGGGGTATGAGAAGAGGGTATATGGGACATCTGACCAGGATTGCCAACACAGTAGTCCACAACCTGGAGAAGGGCCCGGTTCACACACAGATTAGTAGCCTCATCACAGGTGTGTATGTCTATGTAAAAGAAAGTGGTTTTAAAAGAAGAAATTCACACAATTACCAATTTACTTGAATATTTTATTAATGCTGTTGTGTTTTTGGATGTAGAGCTGCCAGAGGACTACAGAGGGCGCTGGGACACATTTGTGGACCAGACCCTGTCAGAGACCAATAGGAAGAACACCATAGACCTGGTAATTACACACATGCTCATGTACAGTATATAATAGCTGTTTGTAATTACACACACACTCAAACTTGTGGTGTTTTTTTCTCCTGTCCAGATTGGCACTGGAAACCCACGGCCATCTTCAGAGGATGATATGGAGAGCCCCTTCCCTAAAGAACTGACACTACAGCAGGTACACAAAAATAAACACGCACACAAAAAATATTGCTTGCTTCTGTCATCAGAGATAGTAATGTAATTCAAATTGTGATGTGTGTTTTAGGCCTTTTCAGACTACCAGATCCAGCAGATGACGGCTAACTTTGTGGATCAGTTCGGCTTCAATGATGAAGAGTTCACTGATCATGACGACAGCATTGGGTAAAACTAAGTGACACTCATCTCTGTATGACAGTGAACTATAATAATTGTGTATCAGTTGAGTGACATCTACTGTTACTGCAGGGCAACGTTTGACCGGATTGCAGAGATCAATATCAACATTGATGCAGGCCAGGACAGTGTAAGTATTCACGCATTTGTTCTATGACGTTGTATTTCTATAATGCTTTGGGGCAGCAAATGTCTTTGTTTATTCAGAATTTTATGGCCACTCAAAATAACCTGACAACCACATATCACCATGTTACAGTTACCTACTTACAAATCCTGTAGACAGGTTTAACCTCCTTTTTCATTACAAAATTGCCAATTCTAACATCTAAAAACATTGATTCATTCAGGTTCTAGGTTTAGCCCTCATCTTAGCATTTGTTATGCAGCATTATGGATATTGATGTACACTAATTAAACTTGTCCTTTTGCAGGCTAATACAGCTGTATTTGAGGCCTGTTCCAAGGAGAGGATTCAGCCCTTTGATGATGATGAAGAAGACATTTGGGAGGATAAAGAGATCAACTTTGCAACACAAACCAAGTCCCGTAACAGGTCAGACACATAACAGTAACTACAAGCGGCCCCTGCATTATGTTGTGGAATTACTTATCAGGCATGTGAATTAATCCTCCTTTCCTCTATCAGACACACTAAAATGTTATGTTTTATTCAAGGTTTGGTGGGTCACAATCAGCCCAGAGTCAAGCAGCCAGTACAGCTTGTGATATGACAGCAGCTTCTGGTACTGAGGCCTCTGACACAGCAGCAGACTCAGACTCTGAGGAGGGAGAAGATCCTAAAGATGACCTAGATCCTTTCTCAAGCCAGGGCCAGACCGAGGCAACAAAGAGTGAGAAGTATTATATAGTAACTCATAATTATTTTGCCCGTTTTAAGCAAGCGTCTTATATAGATTGTGTGTGGTGCTTTTCATACTCAGGCACTGGCTGGATAGCAGACTTTGGGGAGGTGAACTCAAAGGCTCCTGCAGCAGGAGTGGGCTTTTCAGCCTGGGACACTCCAGACTCCAAACCAGCTGCCACAGAGGCAGAGGAGAAAGGATGGGCCAAGTTCACTGACTTCCAGCCTTTCTGCTGGTGAGTCCGGCTGTGGTCTAAATATGAGGAGCTTATTTGAGAAACTGCCTTAAAGCATCTTAAAGCTTTGTTCTGATAAAACTAGTGTGGATATACTACTACTATATACTACTTTACCCATTTAGTAATTGTAAAAACTGCCCATTGAGGCATAATGAAGAAATTGTGGTGATAAATAGAATAGATGCAATTAATGAAAGCCAGATGCAGTAAACCATGGGTTTCTTTCACTTCCCAGTGATATAAGGCGAACAAATAGTTATTTTTTATTTCAGTATGATATTTAATGTGGAGTCATATGCAGCATGTTGGCATCTAAATCTTACATTTATTTATAGCTTGAAGTTGAACCAATATTCCCTTCAAGCCTCGGTTGTAGCTGTTGTCCCCATAGTATTCCATTAGGGTTTTTTCTAATTAATTATTTTGGCACAGATGACCATAGACACATAATAGGGACAGATTTACCCTTAAATTTAACTGGCTGTAGTTTGCACTGTAATTTCTACAGGTTTTCTTATCTGTGTGACATATGTCCCCAGCTCTGAAACAGGCCCCAGATGCAGTTCTCCTGTGGACTCGGAGCTCAGCGGATCAGACAACACCAAACCAAACCAGAACCGTGAGTTGCTGCAGCCTAGCTATTTGAGTGATGATATAAAATGTAATTTATTAATAATGCAATATTCAAATTGACAAAATGATAAAAAAAAATGGTAAGAATTAAAACTTCCCCAATCCCCACCCTTGGTGTACAATGACTATTCAGCCAATGCCATAATACTTTTTAATTAATACAAATTGCAGTTGCAAATACAGATTTTGTATGAACTTTTCATTCTGTTGCATGCATTTGGCAGCTCTTAACTACTGCAGCTCAATCTCTTACCTCTGTGATTACTTGACCTCTCCAGTGAAATGAGTATGTCAGTGTTAAAGTCTCTTTTAAATTCCTTCACCGCTCTCTGCAGCGTGTGTGTGGAGTGTGTGCGTGGCAAGAAAAGCTCCACTGGTGGCATCGGACAGCTCTTCCTCCAGCAGCTCAGACAGCGATGAGGAAGAAGGCAAGACAGAGTCTACAGCCAGTGAGACGGTCACCACAGAGACCATCACCACGGGGGCTGGCAAAGAGACAATTCGGCTCACCGTGGACACCAAAAATGAGAGGGCAGTCTTCAGCAGGTACACACTCAAATGATGTACAGCTGCTCTGTTTTGATTGGTGCAGTGTGTCCCCTCTCTCCTATTGTGCTTTTATAGAGCCCTTCTTTCCCTTTCTCCTCCAAACTTTTTCCCACGTAATGTTACTTCCACCTTCTCTGTTTTTCTTCTGATATTCGCCCTCCTCCTGTCTGTCCCCTCCTTTTTGGTCTCCCTTTGACTCCAGAATATTCAGACCAGCAGTCAGACGGTATGTTGTGCTGGAGGTCCTCTACTCTGGAGTGTGGAATGTTTTCCTGAAGTTGTATGAATGATTTAAAAGGCCATCCTAAGAATGGATGTGCCAACATGTTTTTGTTTGCTTGTTGCATTTAACAGGATGCGATGTAACAGTTCCTTGTGTCATAATTCAGGCCTAATTCATCACAAAGATGTACTAACCCACAACTGGTGACTTGTAGAGGACCTCTGTCTCTATGCTAGGATTAATCTCAACGTGACCTTGTAATACCCAAACACCACTGGTCTAAGCAATGACTCCTTCCCCAGCATGAAACAGACCACTCAGCATTTTAGAAACAGTTATCTTACTATTAACTGTTATCTTATACAATTACACCGAAAGATGAGAGCAATGTATGACTTCTCACTGTGGTTATATTATAAAGATAATTCTTCTCTCAGTCACAACATTGATAAGACCCAAGCTGATATGATTTTTTTTTTCTTCCACTCTACTAACAGTATGTCAGATAGCATGCTGTGCACAGAAGTGGCTACCAATCCAACGTTCTAACAAAATCAATACATTAGCAAGTTACTAACAAACAGTGCACCTATGAGCATGCTACAGTTAAATAGATCCGACTTGGAATTTGATACTAAGGCCCGGTCCACACAGGATGTGTAAGCAGTGCATGGTGACGTCTTGATTTTTATTTTGTCACCCATGTTAACAGGTTAGAGCAGCCACACTGCCCATGTGAGCCGTGCATGTCATGCGTTCCTCAGCTGTGGTTGCAGCGACACTTCACTACATAGATGCAAAAAGTATCTGTTCATAGTCAGACATTATACCGGCAACATACACTCCTTTTGTGGGCAGAATCCATTTATTTGTTAACAAGGCTTTTATTGTACTGTATCTATCAAAGGAAAACTCAATGTAGAAAGATAGGGCTGTCAGTAACGGTCTGTGTGGACACCACACGTGTGCAAGCCGCAGCAATTTAGCAAGGAAGCCGTCACACACTGCTCATGCACGCTGTGTGGTCAACAGGTAACTACCTTTGTGACTATGCGCCCAACTCCGTTTGATTTTGGTCAGTCACCCCCAGCTATACATTGGCAGAAGAGTGGATGCACAGGTTGCTGTACGCGCTAGGCATGGTAATGGCCAGTGTGGACAGCTGAAAGAAGATAACTGTGGTAAAGTTGTTTTACTATATGAGTTGTGACATTCCCTGGCTCTCCATCCAGTTTGTTACAGCTACATTTTTTTTTACAGCGAAGCAGATAAGGTGCCAGTAGAGGGACTCGCCATCAAAGACAAAGGGAAAGGCAATGAGAAAGAAAGCGAAAAAGGAAAGAATCATGTAGACGGCCCCAGCCCAGCTACCACCAGTCCAGCTGCTCAGTCAGCTGCTGTCACACAGTAAGTAAGTGTGTCTGTCTGTGTCTGTGTCTGTGTCTGTCTGTGTGTCCCGGGTAAAGTACCTCCCAAAATGTGCATAATTAAAGACTCCTGACATATCTGACCTCAAGTGTTTCCTACAATGTTAAAGTTCGCTGCTTTTTATTAAATAAAAAAGAGTAAAGCCATCGTTTGTCATTAGTTATATCTTTTCCTGCTATGACAATTCAAAATGTATTGTAGTTTAAACACTGGTGACCAGTGGTCTTGAAATGTTGGTAACATTTGCCAAATGCTGTACATTTGTGTATGACAACCTCAAATGAACTAATGCATATTGTTTAAAGATATATCTCAGTGTTTTACAACCTGAGTTTGATTGTCAAAGTTTTTCTGGTTTTCCTGTTTGTTATGATAACATTTAATTTCAAAAACTAATTCCTGAGGCATAATTGAACTGGTTGTAAAGAGAAGCTCAATCTTAACGTACATACAAGAGTTTTTCTACGTATGTATGGAGAACCTTTGACCTCTCAAACAGAGATGTAACTTAAAATACATTGACACTGCAAAACTAAATGTATACAGCTACCAGTAAGTACAGTTGGTCAGAGTTTAACCAGGAAGTTGAAAAATGAAAACGTTATAATTGTGTACAACGGACAGTTTGGGTCTTGGACATTAAAAAAAAGATATGGTAAAACTAGTGTGACTGTACATTGCCACATACCATATCTTCTCTGTAGGATCAGTTCAACCAAATTGCAAAAGTATATTTTACCAAGTACGATAGCGGTATGTAGCCACACAGACAGAAATATCGTTTACCTGCTTTCAGTCTTTGTCACCATCTTGTGAGATCTCCACACTTGAGACTACTGCCACCACCCCAATAGTGATAGAGCTTTTATTGACACCTTAATATTAAAGCTAAGAAAAAAAGTAGCCAGTGGTCTGAGGATATCCTCTTTAAAACTGTAGTTTTTCTGTACTTCCACATTATAAAGGCAGTGAACAAAAAGCAGGTAAGGAGCAGAAAACTAAAAACAAACACCAAACCAAGGACATGGGGTAATCAATAAGTCAAGGCAAAATTACCTCAAATAAAAACAAAATATCACAAATAATAACAGTAGTTATGAGAGATCTGTCTAATTGGATAAATAAACACGCCATTTTTTCCACCATTCTTTTTGAAGTCGTAAGAAGTAGGTCATCTGTTCTAGAAGATGTAGATGCTTAACAGTACTGACAAAGAGGCTGGCAGCGGGGCAGTTTTTCTAAGCCATTATTTTGTAATGGCCTTTTTACTTGCTGCCAGCACGATTTTTAGAAGGTAGGTATCTTCTTAACTCGGCCCGTCGGGGATGTGTCCAAAAACTATAGTGATGTGAATGTTGTACTGATACTAAAACCCAGGGTTTTTAAAATGATTCTTGTCTATTCAGACTTCCAAAAGGTCTGAATGGAGGGACAAGAACACATGAGCATGATCAACCATAAGTTCTCCACATTCCCTCCAGCAGCATAGCTGAGTGCCAGTTTGTTTAGCCTTCTGTTTGGGGAGTAATAAAAAAGCAAATCAAGATTTTCCTCTACTTTTTAAGGTTATAAAACAATTTCTTTGAACCTCCATTCTATTATTTGGGTGGTGTCAGAAGTCTTGGTGGCAGATATCTCAAAACACTGACTGAGAAAACCAAAGTTGTCAGAATTTTCCTTTGTCTTTTTATAAAAATGTAACATGTTGTAATGTTTTTACCTTACAGAGAGACGCAGCCCTCTGCTAATGGACCGGCCTAATGATGCATCACAGACACACACACACACACACAGACACAGACACGCTTCATACCTGTCTTCAACACACAGCCATGCCACCTATGCTTCCTGTTAGCAGCCATAGCAGCCCTCCAATGCCCTTTTTGTGTCCGAAGAAGAATGGGAGATCCTCAGTGTTGAGCCCTTAACAGTATGTATGCTGGATAACAAAAATCTACACGTGTGTACTCTTGATCTCTCCTGCACCTTCATGACATAATTACAACTGAACCGCTTCAAACAGGAACGTGTGTTTTAAAGAACATTTTCGCCATGCCAGACCCCAAAAGCCAAATTGTGTTAAATATGAACTATTTCAAAAAAAAAAAAAAAAGAGACAAGATTTTTCCCATTGAACTTGGGAAAGTGAAACCACCTGTCGAGATTTGCTGAGGTCACGCTGAGTGTGCCAGCTGTGGCACTTCAATCCTAAGAAAACAAATGCATACGTCTGAAATTAGCCCTTTTATTTAATTCAGCATCAGAATTTTAGATTGTTTGTCTGCTCTCTGGGCATTAAATCACAGCCCAATTTTTCTATCAGAGCATTTGACTGTTTACACTTTAGTAAAGAAAACTGTACTCGTATAATCAGCCAAGATTACAAAAGCCAAGATGATTGCAAAGCTTGCCGCCATTTTGTCTTCAGCATTTCAACGTACATGCCAGGCAGACATTTCATTAGTTGCAAAAGTGTGAGTGATAATAATGTGGGGTTTCTTTTTATACATGCTACTAAATCAGTTCTCAATCCCAGTAAGATTTCTTCGCTTTGATCATATGGAACATTAATAATTAATTTGGAGCATCAGATTTGGGAGAACCATTTGTTACTTACTTCTCTAATCTGTGACAGATTCATATAGTTTAGAGGCGTTAACTGTTGTATCCAGATGTGTGTGTGTGTGTTTGTGTTTTTGTGTGTGTGTTTTTGTGTGTGTGTGTGTGTGTGTGTGTGTGTGTGTGTGTGTGTGTGTGTGTGTGTGTTTGAGCTCTGTACAGGTACAGAGTGCATTCTCAGGTCGAAGGAGAGGTATGCAGATACAAAGAAAGCACACCTGTGTAACGCGTGCGCAGACACACACACACACACACACACACACACACACAGACACACACACACGCGCACACACACACACAGTGTCATACACACACGTATACACTACCAAATCTGTACACACATGCAAAAACAAGACACAGTGACGTGCACATACCAATTGATATCACCCTCAGAGCTGTTTAAATGTAATATTGTGAAATTTGAACCTGTATTAGGTTGTGGCTATTCTTGGTAACATGTAAACGTAATATAAATGTAAACAGTATATATAAACATTATATCTATTTTTGGAATAAATCCAATGTACGGAAAGGCGATTGTTTTGCAGGTTGCAACGTGTGTATTGTATGTGTGTGTTGTACTGTTGAAATGAGGCAATAATGATGTCTGTGTTTCGGTTAATACCCCAGCATCAGTTCCTGTTCCTCTGCTACATGCTTCCTACATGGAGGTTTGGGTGTGTGAATGTGAGCCAGTAGTCTGTCCTCTGTATTATTTACTTAAAGGATAATTTCAATTTATTAGAATTTGGGTCGTATTTTCATTCAGTAGTTTTAAACAAAATACCAGACTAACTAATATCGAGAAAACGACAGTGAATAATAAAATAATACCAATACTGTCCTTTGTAAACATCCATCACAGTGCTGACCAATAGACTGCTTCAACTTTTACCTTTTTAAAATATCATTTGCACATACATAATTTTTTTTTTTTTATTTAAGGAGGGATTATTCTCAACAAGGGCCGAACAAGTTTGATTACCAAAAATAATAGGCAACTATTTTGATAATCTATTAGTCATTAAAGTCATTTTTCAAGCAAAAGTACCACACATTACCTAATTTCAGCTTCTCAAAATTAAGAATTTGCATTGCGTTTTGGACTACTGGGAAGTCAAAAGCTCTCTGGGCTTTAAGAAATTCTGATTTCTGACATTTTTCACTATATCCTGACAGTTTATAGTCCAAACAATAACAATTGTTTAGTTGATAAAACGCACTAATCATTAGTAGCACCCTTTTGCGTGCGCAGACTTGATTGCAAAATGTATATAATTTGAATAAACTGCTCCTATTCAAACCAAAAAATCTAAAAGTCTGATTGCGGCTCTTCTTTCTTCCTCATACTTAACCTGTTGAGTAAAGTCAAATCATAACTGAAAAGAAATTGTGGTAAAAAGTACAAAAACCAGACTCAAATTGTAATAAACCAGAATTTATCTTTTTAAGTTTGCGTGTGCCAGGCAGTCATGCTTTACTTTCTCTTTCTCCTCGTCTCTCTCTTTCTCAGGGCAGGAGTTGACTTTAATTGCATATATGCCTATGGAACGATTTACATAGATTGTTGTATTTATTTGAAAGCACTTTTTCAAGAAGCACTTTTGGTTTGTATTTGGTGGTGCTAAGTGTCACCACATTATTCCCCACTCAAAGAGGTGGGAATGTTTGACTTGAATGAGTGAACCATGTAGATACTTTAGAATACTTTTTTCTTCAATGCTTTCTGCCAAAGTGTGTCTTCCCCACCAGTGTACAACTGGGTTTCATATCTGTGAAGTAGCCTCCTTTCTTGCAATGGTCTTACAGGTCTAGATTTATCTAAAGAAGTCTTTGTTTGATCCCTCATGTTTTCTTTTTTTTAAGTCATATGATGGAGTTATCAGCAGTAGGAGAGGCTACCACATGTCAAAGCAAGACTTTGATTCATCTTAGATCACAGCCATTTTGCTTTTATCCTTTCAGCGCTTTGAGCTGTTTGAAGTGGAACTGCAGAGACCGAGCATTGGTTTTAAGTCAGGGTTTAGAGGAGAAAAACAGGGCTGTTTTCTGTCAGGGTGTGTACAGGGTCAGAATATGTCATCCCGTCTTTCGTCAAACCTAAGCACTGCGTCTGACCCTTACCTTTGTGTTTTTGGTGTGCGTGTCTCCTTCACCTTGAGAGTGTGGTGTGTGTAGGTGTGTGTGTGTGTGTGTGTGTGTGTGCGTGCGGTGTAGCTACGGGTATGGTGTGATGTTATGCATAATGGAATGAGGTACAATACAGTCATCTTTTAAGTGCCATTAAGTTTGCACATCAGCCTCATTCACCTCATTGGGTTATATGCTGTATTGTACAGTGTGCCCAAAAACTTTTAATTGAGACAATGGGTGTTAAATTGTAACTTCATCCCATTGGAAGTTACTTACACTGAGGCCATTTCAAAGTCTAAATATTTCTCGCATTAGAGTTCATTCATTTGTGTATATGTATATGTGTGTGTCTGTGTGGAGGAAGAGGTGTGAAAGACAGTTGTGCTGTAAAAGGCCTTTTTGTAAAGTGGACTGATGCTGGTGTTTAGTTTTTCTTTTTCTTTTTCTTTTTTCATTTAGAGAGTAATGTGTCTGTTACCTGTTGTCAACTTAGCTTGTACATTCAGATATGAATCTAATAAATATGTCAGACCAAGAAGAATCATGAGCCTGTGTTTTTTTTTTTTTTTATGTACATCCTGCTGTAAAACACACACACACACACACACACACACACACAGAGGGAGAGAGAGGTATTTTGAAATGCAAATATGTTTACCTTAGGGGCAGGTGAGGTAGTGAACTATGTTACTCTAAGTTTCCTACACGTCAGCCACAAGTTATGATTGCTTATGTAAACCTGCCTGTCACATACATCCTACTATGAGTTCATCTAACAGGAGAAGACCCTTCATAAACTCCCTCATATTCCCAACACACACACACACACAAGTCCTACCTATATATCATTGCCCTTTCACTGTGGGTGTGTGTTTTCATTCCTTGGCACAGATGCATCATGTATGTCATCACATTCCTCTATAGTTTACGAGTGGAGCACAGATACTGAACACACCTGCTGCTGCTCCAACCTCTCCTTCCACTCTTCTCCCTGCCTTCCCCTTTCTTTTTCCTTTCTCTTTTTCCCCGTCATCCACAGAGGAAAAACCACCTTTACTTTGTCATCCACACCTGCCTGCTCTCTCCGTAGAGAAGGGCATACATGTGGGGAAGAGAGTGTATGCTGTGTGTTGAAAGGGGAAGAAGGCGGAGTTGTTTTTTTTTTTTTTTTTACTTTAGTGGGTTGTGGAGAAACCTGCCTGTCCGCTTGGAGCTGTGAGAGGAGGAGCCTGTGGGGTGTGGGACTCCAGACAAAGGAGACATATACACACTGACACTGGATCACTGGAGCGAAAGGAGAGACAGACAGCTGGAAAGCTTCACTTATCCACACAGGAAATAACCCTCAACTCCTGGACTACTTTTTTCCGTGTGTGTTTTGGAAAACTTTGTCAGAAAAGGGACTTTACTGTATGTGTTTGTCAGCTGTATGGATTCATCTGGGAGCTGTGTTGGAGCAGCAGTAACCATATGCTGCCTGTAGTGTGTGGAAGTGTGTGGGTTAGTATGTTTGGGATGGAAAAGTGGGGCTGGCACGACCAACAGCTCTGCTCTTAGCTTTACGCCATGGGGGGTTGCCATAGTTACCCCTCGGCTACAAAGGCAGACAGCAAGACTCTTCAGCCTTCTGACATCAGCGGTGAAAAACTGTAAGTTGTGTATGTCTTCATCAACTTTACACTCACACTCCTGTTTCAGTTTCCTGTCTGGAAACGAGTTCAGTGTTTTGCATTTGCTGTTCCATCTGTCTATAATGACTTTTCCTATTGTTCCTTTTATATAGAACATAAAAGAAAAGGAAGATAGAGTTTTAGCAATGGACAGTACGGAAGAAACACGACTAGAAAGCTGGCTGCACATGGTTTACAGAGGAATGTTCTCCAGATAAGAGTGTGTGTGTGTGTGTGTGTGTGTGTGTGTGTGTGTGTGTGTGTGTGTGTGTGTGTGTGTGTGTGTGTGTGTGTGTGTGTGTGTGTGTGTGTGTGTGTGTGTGTGTGTGTGTGTGTGTGTGTGTGTGTGTGTTACATATTTGTCTGATGGCATCAGTGAAGGTGGATTCCTCTCACAGCGGGAACACATGTTGTGAAGTAGTTTAAACCAAGACGAGGAAAGATTGTATGTGTACATGTTTCTATTCAAACATTTGCTCCAGGATGAATGTTTTTCCAGCCAGCTGGCTGTGCTGAAGAGGAGTGTTTATTTCACCCACACGGCAGAGGTAAAGGTAAACAGACGGCTGAGAGCGGGAGAGCAGGGTCACAGAGGAGCGTGTTTACACACAAACACAACATTACAAGTAGCTCGGGGTTGTGTGTGTGTGTGTGTGTGTGTGCGTGCGTGCTGACAACTGGTAGCCAAGAGGCGGTAACTGAGTTAATGCCATGGAGCTGGAACAGAACAGGATGTTAACAAAAGAAGTTCCTGTGGACATTAGAGAAGTTTGTCATGGTTTGCATTTACACTACTGTACCTTTGTACAGCTAATGTGTACATTCTTCTCTGTCACTATTTCTCCCTTTCCACCTCTCCTGACCTTTACTTTGGACAAAGACTTGCTGTTTAGACCATTAAACAAATTCTCCCCGCCCAGCCCTCACTCACACACCAGGGGGAGAAAAAACCCCATAGAGAGCACTGTGTTTCCCTTATCGCAAGTAAAGCAAGGTCACACTGAGTAAACTTTCAGCTGCTGTGTGAGAAGACATCTAAAAACCGAGAGCGGCAGCTGCTTGATTCCACTACACTTTTAAATATTCAATCCAAAGCACCATCTTAAAAACATGCTTGCCCACAAACAGACAAGAGTAGAGCAGTTATCACCATCTCAGCACACTACCTGTGTCTACGTGGCAGACCCTGTTTGCATAAAGTCAAATCTTGCTGCCAAGTTTGACTTTCCATTACACACTGGCATTCGCAAACAACATCATTTATTTCCTGTACCCGAGCTCTATAGTTATCACAAGTTCCCAAGCTGCCAGTCCCGTGGTACTGACTGATAATAAAGCACTACCTGTAGCGTATCAGTAGGTATATGAACTGATGTTGGAAAGAGAGGTTTGGTAAAGCCAGCAGGCCTCAGTACTCACTTCTGTATATTATCTTGCACATTTATCTGTTCACTTATTTGCTTTATAGCACTGACCACTGCAGCAGTGAGCTTCATTAACAGTAATTACTCTGGCTCTGAATTTACTGCCTTCATTACATTAACTGCTGGTTTATTGGACATTCAGGTCTGCAGCTACAGCAGTGTTTGTATGTGTTTGCATATGTGTGTGCCAGCCACAGAGGGCAAGACAGATGAGAGAGCATCAGAGAGTGTAAAACGTGTTATCTACTGGCTGCAGGAGGAGTAATTAATCCACTGACCTATCGATTGTTTTACACAGCCATATTTTTTGTCACTCTGTCTTTTCTCTTTCTGTCTCTGCTTCATTAACTCTGCACTGTCTTCCCAAGGGGAATTAATAACAATAATCTGGAGGAGCGTCCGTATCTGCAGCAGCAGAATGTGTGCCAGCGGATCACACACACAGACATGTTTGCTCTCACAGAGCTGCCGCCTGGCGTCGACAAGGCAGAGTGGCTTGCCAGCAACAGTGAGTTGACCCCATTCTGACTGTTTGTGCCCCTTATCCTCCCCCGCACGCTGCAAAAAAACAGACGTAGAACAATGTACAAGATGTAATTTTCTTCCTTATTGATTTCTTTCAGCTGTGGCGTTTTTCAAGCATATAAACCTGTTCTCTAGTGCACTGTCCGAGTTCTGCACTCCCAGCACCTGCCCAACGGCCTGCGGACCAGGCAACACGTAAGTTACTGAGAATTATACTGCATGTACTTAAAGTGATGTTTACCCAAATCACAAGAAAAAAACAAACATATTTCCTCACTGTCCTCATGGTATCTTGTCTTTGCACCTCATGTGAGCTGTTATGTCTTTTATTTATGATGTCTTATTTATTCTCCTGTACAGCACTTTGGTCAACTTTGGTTGTTTTAAAGTGCTTAACAAATAAAGTTGGATTGGATTGGATGCCAATACTTTTAAGTTTTATTTGCAGAAGTTCTGAGATATCCACAAGCCTTGCAGTGGATCTGTTTTATATGAGCTTCTTTCTTCCAAAGAAATTGTCCCAAAACCATGAAAACTGTTGACAGTGCGGTTTGTGGACTATCCTGAGCGACCGGGAGGTTGTTTCTGGAAAGACAAATTACTGCTGAATTTCTCTAATGTTAGTTTGCGATGCTTTGGGCAGCACAGACAAAATTGTACTTGCCTCCACTTTTAAAGGACCAGTGTGTAGGATTTAGTGGCATCTACCAGTGAAATTGCAGATTGCTACTAACTGAACACCACTTGCGGCTGTGTCGTGACCTGGAAATAAACAGGCTGTGGAGTAAACCACGGTGGCCACAAAATGGCCCTATCTAGAGTCGGTGTTTGGTTTGTCCGATCTTGGTTACTGTAGAAACATGGCGGCTCAACGTGGGAGGCAACCCGTGGCCTCTGTAAATAAAAACAACTCATTCACACAACACAATGATTCTTATATTTAGGGGAACTGTTTTCTGTTAGGTCTGGGGTGAATAAAGTTGTGGCTCCAGTGGGAGCGGTGTGATATTTGATACATTTCCTCAAGTGATGTCACTTGAGTCAGCGTCAGTTGAGACTGAAGTTTGAAAATGAAAAACAAAAACCAGATATCTGTAACCCACTCCTCAGCTTTGCTTGATGCTTACAGCTCAATGCTACACAACTGTTGCCGTTGAATTGCATTATGGGTAATAGAGGCGCCAGGTTTTGGCGAGGAAGAATAAGAATGACAATATTTTTGGTTTTGCTGCATTGATTTTGATAAAAATATATTAAACAGAAATTGATTGTTTTTTTGTGTCATTGATGTTGATGTTTGTTCAAATAGTAGCAAAACTTAATTCATGATAATGAAAGTTGAGCATGGAAACACCAGCTTTAAAAAGAGCTTTCAACTGCATATGACAGTAGTTTTCTCAGTTGCCATCAGATGACTCTACAGTGATATCATATTTATCCTTTGAAAAACATTCAACATAGATGCTGTTATTTACTTTATAATACAGATAAAACATCAAGTTGTGTCCTAATAACCGTGTGTTGGTGTTGTCAGGGTTTATGTTTGGACCGATGACCACGGGAGGAAGCTGAAGTGCTCTGCCCCGCTCTACTTTGACTATGCCATGTCATACATTCAGGAGCTACTGACTGATGAAGACGTGTTCCCCACAAAAGCAGGTAAAAGGCATTTTCTTTATGTTGCATTGTTCTGCATCACATTCTGGTTTCAGTGCTAAGCCATTTCTCTCTTCCCTCTTTCCAGGTTCAGTGTTTCCGACAGGTTTCGTCTTTCTCGTCCAGAAGGTATTTTTGCTGTTTTTCAGGACTCTGGCTCACATTTACGGGTCTCACTACAGAGAGACCCTTGCGCTGGGTCTGCACCCACACCTCAACACACTCTTCACACACCTCACACTCTTCTGCCGGCAGCACGCCCTGTTGGAGCCGGAAGACACTGAGCCGCTGCAGGACCTCATCACAGCTCTGGGACAGCACGGCTGTACCTAAAGAGCAAACATGCATATTGTATGTAACAGTACACTCACACTTTCACCACACACACACATTTATACTTATTATTGTCTCTTGCCACTCTGGGCCAAACTTAAACTATTTCACTGTATGGATTTTTTGTAAAGGTCTAGAAGTTGTAAAATAGAAAAGAAAAAAATACTGTTTCTTAACAGTAGTGGGAGAATGAATGATGTGCTTTTAAAAAGTGGTAAATCAGATCAGACCAGGAGCATACAGCTCCTGTTGTATATAGTTGGCATCAGTCATTGTATCATACTGTGTGAAACTGTTATATTGCATGTTTGCGTACTTTAACATAATGCTGCATTATTGTATTTTGATAAGGTCAAGATCTTCAAGGTCATTTATGTCTTTCTCACAGACTTAACACAGTAATAATAAAAAAAACATTGAATTTTCCTCTGTTGTCTTTTCCTGTAAGACATGAACTGACTCAGACAGTTCCGTTATTTTAAACATAATGTGCCCTCAAGGGTGTTGTGTTGATGTAAATGTGATTACATTGTTGTGACTGCGTTTGCATGGAATAGCACAAGCTTATCTCTGCATCTTTATGTATGATTCTGTACTCTGTAACAAACATTTATGGCAGATTTAAAACAACAAAAGATTCCTAACTGTGACATTTTTATCAGTCTCACTTCTCTACATTCAGGCACTCTGTTATATAATCTAATGCAACTATCTCATGTACTTTTTGTTTTGGTCCTGAAGTAAATGCTGGTACTGTCAACATGTCTCCAGGTATTACACCTCTCCGGGTGTGAGAGCAGCACCACCTGCTGCCAGCACAGGAACTCAGTCAGCATGTATGTCGTTTTAACCTTCACTGTCAGCTACAGTTCACTGCAGTCTGTAAATGTTTGCTTTGTCAGCTGCAACATATTGGATTTGAAATAAAACAATGACAATGAAGGTAAAGTGCTGAGTTTGGAGTTTAAAGCTTTCATGTGAGAGTGTTTACATCTCGGTTGGGTCCAGTGGTAACTGTATTCACAAGTTATAGAAGTATGTATCAGTTACCTTCATGTATTACTATACGAAGAGCCTCCAGGACACTTAAAACTGGAAAGTCAGCATTTACTGTAAACCTGTAAAGTCAGTGTCTTCAAGGGAAGAAAATAGAGGATGTGCGATTGTTGAGAATACTTATGTTCTGCATTGTATAGAAATAAAAAAAATGTGCTTGTTTATTAACAAGGCAGCAGCAGTTGGCAGACACACAGCTCATGGGAGCAATACGATAATGTTTCTATGGTGCAATCTGAGTCAAAAATCATATAAAATCATACCTCAAATCATAACACACAGACATTATACTCATTGATTTAGATTCAGTATGACAGGTTGCCATTATCTCCGTTGTCCATTTCAAATAAATGAGCATAGATTTGGATAGAAATAATAGAAGAAAAGACTCATTTTTCTCCAGAACTTGCCTGAGAATTTAGTTTTCTTAAGTATCAGAGATAAGTTGTCTGTACGTCTGTGAGTAGACTGCAAACAAAATCTGCAAATAACTAATTCGGCCAATTTGCCAAAATGTAAACAAATATCATCATCCAAAAAACAAAAAAAACACTCCACATAGTAACATAGTTCCTGTTTCATCCCCCAAAGCCCCCAAATTATGGTAACTGTAGTTTCGCAACAAACATTAATATTAATAAGGGTGTTGGTGGTGCAGTTTTCTCGATTTTGTCATAGTAACAGACTTTGAAAATCTGTGACCTATTACCACTAAATGATCTAACACAAATAGATTTCACTCTAGTTTCAGGAATAACAAACCCCAGACACCCCAGTCTTTGTTAACATATTGTGTACATTTCCAAGAGGGGACATTTGAGAGCAAGACTGATGTAATCAAGAGACAAATCCTGGAGCTGCAGTGCTACCAGAGGACACCTTTATATGCGCTGACAGCCCTGTGGGCAATTTGTCAAGAGATGCAATCTGCTTTCGTCTACTTTTTGCTGTCAGTCACAAAAGCAAAAGGACTATCGGGGGGCTGAGAGCAATCTGATACCGAGACGATCAAGTCACTCTCGGTTAACCCTCAGTTTCACTATCAGTAGAGCAGCATACTGTACATACATTAGTGGCCTATGTGTAGTAGATGTATAGATACTTTTTTCCCTTTCTCTGGGAGTGGGTGAGTGTGATTGTGCAACTCAAAACTTTTGAAGACCGTGCAGCAACAAAACTGAATCATATTGCAGCCTGCCATGACACATTTTTTAGTCTCCCCAACCCACCCACCCTGAAATCTTGAACAGGATAAAAAGGAACAATATGAGCAAAGATATTATTATTAATTAATTATTACAGTATTGTGTGCTAGGTTTTTTTCATTGTGAGCATGTAGTCCCATCTTTCACCACACAGAGGCATCAAAATACCACCACATTGTAATGGCTCAACGTCTGAAGAATACTTCTATATAAACATTTTGCATTTTTAACATTTTATGTATGTTTTTTTTATTGATCAGTATTGTATTATAATTTCAAGCACTGTCTTGTCCAATAAAGAAAAATACAAATAATTCCAATATTATATTATAAAATATATATATTATAATATTCTAATAGGAATAAACTTTCCATATCTGTATAATTAAGTGAGAAAAGGACTAATTCAAATACCTTTATTTGTACTTATAATAACACTTTTAGGTTTTAAGCAACTTTTAGGAACTAACACTCTTCACAGAAACTTATACTAAAACTAATCTTTTTGTGCTTTTCTGATTAAGTGCTGAAATGACTAATCTGCTGAAAACACAAAAAGCAACTTGTCTGGCAACATATTCCTCCAGCGTAATTGCAAATGCCCTGCAAAGAAGGCTCCAATGAAAGCATATCTCTTTCGTCTCTGCACCTCAGCGCTACCTTTCTCAACCCGTCTGCACTCATTGAACCTGACAGTGAAATCTCCTGCTTTTTATACAGTGACACCCTCTTTTCCTTGTGCAACATCAAGTCCACATCCAAAAACTGGACTCTTCAGATTTAACATAAGATTCGGATCTTCTTTTTAATCCGTAGACAAGCTGAAAGTTGCTCAGATTATACTTATAGATTGCGAATGCGGCCAGACATCTGATTTCCTCTCTAATTTCAGCCCGAGGTGTCCAGCAGGCTCGTCAAAGTTAAGACTAAGTCTGAAACTCAGCCTTTCCACGGAGAGCCAAAGCATCATTGCCTGCTAAGAGATCAGAGGAAGAGGGTATGAGTCTGGATAGTGTGGACGCACACGCACACATACAAGTTTTGTTCTTAGGACAGATAGGAGATGTGTTAATGCACATGTTGGACTGAGTTGAGGCTCACGGTGTTGGAAACTGAGCTTAGGAGGGTAATACTGCAAATCTGCTGAGTCACAGACACACACACACTCAGCCCTTTAATTAAGGCCTGAAGCCACCTCCACATACAGAGCATTCTTTTAATCAGGTTCAGACTCTGAGCTTCTCATCTGTGTCCTCCTTTACAAAAGGGAATACTTGTTGTTATACAAGAAAAATGAGGAGAACAGGATCACTGCAACTAACGTGGAACCTTTACTTCTTTGGAGGTTTTTGTAAATGAAGGGGCATCTTGGCGACAGTAGCCGGGCAGGCTGACCTGAACCTGGTTACACAACTATATTAAAGGTCGTGTGTGTAACATTTAGGAGTATCTATTGGCAGAAATGGAATACAATACTCACAGGTATGCTTTATAACTACAGACAACACGGGTCCCCTTCCATGGAGTCCGCCATTTTGATAAGATATTTTTCCATATCAAAAAGTATGTAACATTATCTATTGGGCAAGTTAAAGCTTTGGTTCCCAACCTTTTAACCATGTGACCCTCAAGTAAAGTCAACTCACAACCTCTTGTCATAGGTTACATATTTCTATTGGATATGAGCATTTCAAGCATTTCAAGACTGATCTTTACCTTCTGAGACACTTTAATTTGAATATTTAGAGGCTTGAAGAGGTAAAAACCCCAGTATTTCACAGGAAAAAAAGATAAATATAAAAAAAAAATGTCTTCTTCTTTTTCTCTCACTTGTTAATCATGCCACAACTCCTGAGATTAATCTAACAACTCCTAACTCCCACATCAGCGGGTTACAGTTTGTACAGTGACATCCCTATAATCCACTTCTCAAACAACAGCAGCAAGGAGGGGCAGATACACGCGTACTGGACCACCACAGCAATTCATATAATGCTGCTGCACTCAGGTCTCTGTTGCAAAACAGTTCTTAATCTACCTGATTAAATGGAGCAAGCAGGTTAAATGCTGTAAATACTGTACTGTACAAAGGAAATCTTTTGTGCATGGATCCACACAAGTCACAAACATGCCCGGGAGTGATCCCCTATTTTTTTGCTTTTATTGAGATTGAATCTTGTGCTGGGTTGTAAAGATAAATGTCAGTATTTGTGGTTAAATTTACAAACATCACAAGAGCGTGTGCTCCACCAGAAGCTTCGCTTTTAAAAAGGGCAAGCGGGCATAAATCTAGACGGCCAAAGCTTTTACTATATATACAGTTCAGATACAACACATGGTTGCTCTGTTGAGCAGTAGCCTTTAATGCCAGAACCAGGAGCTGTATTGTAAGGCTCTTTCTTTCATCTCTTATCAGCAATATTTTACTGTGAGCTAATTATTGACGCATAATTGTATTTATCATTTTCCAATCAATCGTTCAACAATCACACTCACACCTCAAGGTCTCACTAACACCTGCAGGCTTTAATTTTTAATTTCTATCCATAGCAGTATTGCTAATGACTTAGTTATTGAGGTCCAGGTTGATTTTGGTTCATTTTTGTCTTTGTTTAGCACATTTTAACTTTACCTTACCCACCATGCATGTTTTTTTTTTTATTTTATTATCACAAACTCAGCTATAAGTCTGACTTGTCTGTCAATTTAACACAGAATAACCCAAAATAATAATAAAAAAGACACAAGTGCCTATAAAAATGTCCAGCTTTTTAGTCATAATCACTTGAAATACTATTATAGAACAGTTCTAGATTGTGACAAATGACATCAATTATTTTTACATTTCTAAAAATAAATGGTTAAAGCTTCACAATATTCTAAGCTTGTCTCTACATTATATATAAAGTTATGTTAGTGTAGCCCTACAGGGTTCCAATGAACTCAATATGGCCTCACTGTGTTAATAAGTTCATTTCTAAGTAGGTCAAGGTCATTCTGGCTACAACTATAGGTAGGTAATACAAATTGTAAAAAGAAATATATAAGGACACCAATAAGTTTTGTTTTTTCTAAACACCCAAAACAACAAATATGGCAAATGTGCTTTACCTCTACAACCAAGATTATATGAGAAGACTGGAGTTCTTCAGGTTTAATTAGGTTGCGGGATTCATTAGAGGATAGGTTGTTGAGTAGGACAGACAATAAGCCTTCTTCCTCCTCCCTCCCCCCTTCGCCTTCTCCTCTTCCTCCTCCCTCAGTCAGGCTTTATAAATGAGAGAGCTCAGGACTCCAGTTGCTCTCGATGTGAGCCCCAATGAACTTCTGAGTTTTCAGGTCCTTCTTTTTCCGCGGATTTTCTAATTAAAAGCGAGAAAGCCAGCGCGCAGAGAGGATGCAGCAGACAAGACTGGTGATGCTGTCAAGGTCACTCATCTGTACGGGACAATTTAGTACTCAGACATAACTTTGAATTCGTCAACTCCGCAAGAATTTTGATTGGATTTTTTACGCATTTTAAAAATATATATATAATATTTTGGTCTTCTGAGATCCGCCTCCTCCCTCCCCTCCGGGCAGTGCGTCTCCACTGCACCGCCATGTGTGCGCTGCTGCCGGCTTGGCTGTGCTTGCTGCTCGGCTTCCTGCCACTGGAGATCCACTCCCGGGCTTTGACTCTGCAGAGCCTCACTCACAGACAAAGGTACTATACTGCCTCATTCAGCTTTTACACACCGGAGAGTGAATGCTTGTTCAAGTTGCAGGTGTAAAATGAGAAGACTTGACTCTTGGAACCAAACTTTGCTTTACATTTTATTTTAGGGTTTTTATGTTGCTCGCTTTGGCAAAGTGTGAGGGAGTAGTCTAATTTCTACATTATTTCAAAGGGAAATTTCTACAGTGAACTGAATGTTTTTATCTTCAGTCAGTATTTTTCCATACAATTATTCGGTCAAATATTGCAAATAAAATATTAACATGTTGATATTATAACCTAACTGTATCATACTACTACTATTACTTTATTGTACTTTATACACCATATCCATATTCATACAAGGTCTATATTGTATATTTAATGGTATAATATATATATATATATATATATATATATATATATATATATATTTGTAATTGAATAAACTGTGAAGAATTGTTAAAGGTTAAAATAATAGAAAATCAAGTCAATTCAATTTTATTCATATCTCATTTACCCCATAATTACATATTTGTCTGGTTTCTCTGAACTACACAAAACAAAAGAGATAGAGAAACTCATAAAATCTTTATTTCAGCAATTATTTTTGTAATGATTTAGTGCTTAGTGTGGAAATAATTGATTGATTAATCAATTAGTCAATTGACACAAAATAAATGACAAAGAATTTTGATAATAACTGTTTAAATCATTTATCAAGCAAAAGCATTCTGGTTCGGGCTTCTCCAAGACGAAGATTTGCTGCTTCTCTCTGTTTTACTGCAAACTGAATAAATCTATGGGACATCTGGACGTTTGAAGATGCCACCTTGGGCTATGAGAGCTTGTGATGGGCAGTTTTGGGTCGCTATGTGACTAAATTATCAATTGATTAATCAGAAAACTAATGAACAGCCTGCCAATAATGAGAATAATCATTAGTGAAGGAGAACATTAAACGTCTGCCATCTGGCAGGTATTAATATGGGAAAAAGGTCCAGCAGCAGGATGAGGTTCCTCTCAGCAGCAGGAGGTGAGACAGAGGTGAGGGTGATTTAGTGGGATTTGGGATACAAGGATCTAAGTACATACTGAGGGGCCGAGCAGCGAAAAAAGCCTCGCTCTGAGTAAGGTATAAACTCCACAGACAGCAGTTTGAACGCTGTAATAGTTGTGGATATGAATGCATCTTGTGACCGAGGTTCTGCAGGGACAGCAGCAAATTTCCATAACTGTCACATGTAGACCCATGCATCACTAATTTGTTTTCCAGCTGCCTCTGTGATCAGTAGACTTCTTTAATATATTAATACAACTTTGGAACAATAGCAAACTGCTAACTTACCGTATTATTCTTTTGGCATTGTGATTTCTTTCTCCCCTAGTTGACCATCTAATGGTAAGTTTTAAGTTTATTTTTACATAAGAATTAAGCTCAGTTAACAGTTTTAATAGGTTAGGGCAGTGTCAACAAAAAAATCCCTGGCCAAGGTGAGAGGATCTCAGTGTGATTCCACGCTGATCGTTAAAAAACATAATGATGTAACAACAGCAAAATGCCTGGAAAGAAATAAAGGAAGAGAGAAAGAAAAAATAAAGGATCCTGAGAAGACAGAGAGGAAAAGAGAAAAAGGATGAATAGACCCAGTGTTAATAACTGTTAGTGAAACAGTGGGGATCTGATAGGGACAAAAACTTTTCTTTGTGCAAAGTAGTTTTGAAGAGTTACGACAGGAAAGTGTGTGCGTGTGTGAGTGTGTGTGTGTGTGTGTGTTCAGTTCCTCTGTGAACAACCCCATGCTGCGCTCTAACATGGAAGGAATGTTGGAGAATCTCCTTTTGCTCTCAGACTCTCCACAGGTTCACAACCTGGACTCCATACAATACACAAACACACGAGAGAGAGAGAGAGAGAGAGAGAGAGAGAGAGAGAAATTGTGTGAGAGAGGTCCCAGTAGAAAGTACAGAAAAAAATATATGAGTACACACCTCAACTCATACTGCTGTCATGCAGTGTTGTTCATCCCCAAACCTCAAAACAACACTGGCCTGTCAGTAGGTCGGTCCATCAATCAATCATCAGGCTACAGATATTCAAGGTCCCTAAAGGATAAACTTAAAGAACCAGTGTGTAGGATTTAGTGACATCTAGCAGTGAAGTTGCAGATTGCAACTAAATGAACACCACTTGCGTCTATATTTGACGACCTGGGAATGAGAACAGGCTGTCAAGTGTGTAGGAGAAACTACAGTGGCCTCGAAACTCCTGAAAAAACATGAAAGTCAGCGTTTGGTTTGTCCATTCAACATGGTGGACGACAAGGCGATCGGCGGCGTCTGTAGATAAAAACGACTCATTCTAAGGTAACCAAAACACAACGATTCCTATATTCAGGTGATTACACTCTAATGAAAACATACCTCTGAATATTATATTCCATTTATGCCAATACATCCTCCTAAATGTCAACACTGGATCCTTTAAATAACTTTGCTGAGCCTCTGACTTTTTAACATTTTTAATATATATTTTGGTTTATAACCAAATAACTAAATAATAAATAATTAGCAAATGTTATCATGCTGACATTGACGCAGACAAAGAGTTTTATTAGTTCGTTCTACCTGTATTGTTTGTGTTACACTGGCAAGCAGTTCAGTGGCCTAAATTTCCTTGTACTGCGAGGTACCTCTGCGCCAAGTGCCTTTTCCTCCAGAGACCACTGTGTTTTAAACCTCACCACAGGTGGCCTTTTAACCATGTATGTGTGTGTGTGCATGTGTGTGTGCATGTGTGTATAAAGACGGTGGAAAAGTACTTCAGCATGCACACGTAAAACATGGATATATGCTAGTGTTTTCATATATGTATGCATGTTTTTGTTTTGGTAAATCTTGTTTGTTGCCAGGCGGTCACGTGTTACTTGCACGTGTATGCTCAACCCAACCAACCAACAATATGCCAGTGTGTGTGTGTGTGTGTGTGTGTGTGTGTGTGTGTGTGTGTGTGTGTGTGTGTGTGTGTGTGTCTGGGTGTCCAGAACTGCCAGAATTAAGCATCCATTAAAAACAATTCAAAGCTAATAGAGTTAGGCAATCTCACAAGCTTCCAGTCACTGGTGTAACACACAATAGTGTGTTGGTCGGGGAGTGGGTGAGTGAATGAATGAGAGTGTGTGCATGTGTGTGTGTGTGTGTGTGTGTGTGTGTGTGTGTGTGTGTGGCAGAGAGAGCCCAAGGTGTCCGGCCAGAAGAGTGATCAGAATACCAGTCAGGATTACTTACAGGATAAAGATCATATGGTATTCTGGCCCACTTTTTCACACCAAACAAACACATTATCTTCCTCCTTTCCTCTCGCCCCTTTATTCTTTGTTTCTCACCTCATGAATAGCCAGCTACTTGTGAATGGGGAGGTGTGTGTGCGCACACACAAATATACACACATACAAAGTGGTTCAACAAATCATTATACTTGTGTTGATTAGCAAAGCCTTTTTCAGATGTACAGACAGATAGATAGGTATGTAGGTCGGTTAGTAGGGAGGTAAATCAACAATCTTAAGACTCAAGACTTAATCTAACCAGGGATCACCTATTTAACACTTTATAAGACATTAATTATTCCACAATGCTAATAACAATCCACACAAGGTGAAAGCTGGACTGAATCCAGTGCTCCTTGTCCCCTTCTGCCTAACATGATCTATAAGTATTGCATAATTTCTGACTGGTCACATGGCCAAACAGACTGGCTCTCTACTGCGTCTGAACTCTTGAACGTCTGAGAAAGTGTGGGGATTAATGAAAAAGAAAAAAAGGTATTGTGACGAAGTGAGAAAAAAGGAAGGCTCGACAGCAGGGAGGTGAGAAAGAAAACACTTAAAACACACTCAAGAGGAGCCTCTTACCACTGTGGGGTTCAGTGGTTGTTGTTTTCCTGCTCTCTTCCTCTGTTTTTCCCTCTCCTGTTGTAAGATCTGCCAGCTCACATACTGTTGTTGATTAACTGGAAATATTATTATTTTTTAGCTGTGTTGGTGTTGGAGCGTGTGGCTGTTGGTCAGTTTGTTGTCGACTCAGTCGGTTTAAACCACCTTGGGCTGGATGGGCGCGGGAAGCAGAGCCACCTTTAGGGGTCGCTAGCTGGTGTTTTAGACTGTCGGCCTAAAATTTCAATTATTGACAAAGAGACATGTGAAAGAAACAGCTTGTCACTCTTTAACTGTGTTTTGCAGGTCCACATGAAGATGAGTAAGCAGTACTTATACGCTCGTTTGCTGTTTACCCAGAGTCAGATGAGAGGACCCACGTCAATTTCCTCTCACTGTATTCAATACATACATAGGTCTGGGATGTGTTTCGCTTCGCTTAGTGCCACAATTCTAGGCAATTCAAGAACTAATACATGCCAGCGAGTGCATGCATTTAGACTCTGCCTCTCAGTGTGAGTCTGGATAACCTTGAGCTGGCAAAGCCCCAGTTCAATGTCTGCCGTATCAACTTTTGATGTCACTTTCTGTGCCTAACATAGTGACCACAAACAACTGAGAGTCAGAGTTTTGATTCTGAAGAAAGAGACGAAGACTCTGTGAGTGTAAAATGTGCAACGATTGTGGGAAAACGGGGGAAACGGGTTAAGCCAGCTACTAAAAAGTGAAAAAATATATGTAAGATTAGCACCAACATTGTGGGGGGGGTTTTTCCTTGAAAGTGGCACTGTAAACGTTTCCAAATGGGCAGCCATACGTTGATCAAGCTGCTGGTGTGGTTTGAGAAGTTTCCATGGATCATTTGATATTTAAATGTTTTTACTCGCCACTGGACTCAGCTACAACATCACTGTGCCCTGTAAGAGTAAACTGAAAACCTGTTAAAGTCATCACTGAAGTGGGTCAGTGCTTGACACAGAAAAATATAGCTGTGATTAGCCTTCAACAGTTGTTATTGTTGCCTGCACTTGTTTTGCATTTGGGTAGTGCTTGGTGTAGATATTTTTTTAAATGAGACACATGTGGTTAGGTAGCACTGAAGATTTAAGAAAAAAACATAAACATAAGATTTTTGTTTTCCATAAGATGTTGTAATGATCCAGTTTCACTCACCTGGTTGTTGTTGGTATTAGAGTAAAATGTCACAGATGGAGTTACTTGAACACAAATATTATTTAGCATTAGTGCAACTCGACAATATAATACCTCATTTGCAAAAACATATGAACACCAACTATGCAAATAGGTTAGTTTTGTTTGTAACGATGTCAAAACTACTGATTTCAGCTTAAAGGTCCAGTGTGTAACATTTAGGAGGATCTATTGGCATAAATAGAATATAATATGCAAACTATGCTTTCATTAGTGTATAATCACCTGAAAATAAGAATCATTATGATTTTCTTACCATAGAATGAACCAATTTAATCTATAGACGTAGATAAAATTGGTCATCTTCTGTGTTTCTACAGTAGCCCAGAACAGACACACCAAACACTGGCTCTAGACAGGGCTTTTGGTGCTTGGAAAAAGAGGGTAAAGTAAGGTGTTTTAAATATACTGTATTGGGTATCACCATCAGCTTTCCGTAGACATGTTAATCCCTATATAGGGGAAAAAAAAGGAACAGACAGACTTGCACACACACACGTCAGGTACAGAGACAGAAGTGACTCCCACCTGTTCACCCCCCTCTGTCTATCTCTCCTTCTATCTTTCCTTCTCACTTTCTCTTTCAATTCAGTCTTTCTCGGTTTCATTTCGTGAAAAAAAAAAAAAAAGAAGAGACCACAGGTTGACTGTAGTGGACATTCCTGCAGTACAAGCCTGACTTTCTGTGAGACATTTCATCCTGTTATAGTGATTCAGTTTCACGTAGAAAACCCAAGCAGGCGACATACGCATGACTGCCCAGCATCAAACAGGTTGTGTGTGTCTGAGTTGTAAAGTTTTTGCGTTGCATCTAAATATTTTCTCTCCCCTGTTGTGTTTCTCTGCATCTCAGGTTGAGTTTACCCAGAGTGTCTAAATACCCAAAGTCATCTTACAACGCCATCATGCCCACTGCGTCTGACCTCTCCGTTGCCATTGACAACCACATCACGCAGGGAGAGAGACATATCATCTGGAGGGCCCGGCTCCACAAAGAGCCCCCGCCGAGGTTGTCCGACCCGTTGCTTGACCAGAGTGATAATGTGCTACAGGAAGAGCCAGCCTGGCAACGTGGGTCACGGGGTCGTCGCCATGCCAACAGTGGCGGCGGAAGGGGCCACGGACATCTCATGAGGGTCGGGTGTGTCCTGGGCACCTGTCAGGTTCAGAACCTCAGCCACCGTCTCTACCAGCTGATTGGACAGAGCGGGAGAGAAGACTCCTCCCCCATTAACCCTCGCAGCCCTCACAGCTACGGCTAAGACCACACCTCGAATCTAGCCAGGCGCCTTTTATTGACAAACGTTGACAAGTTACCCAGGTCCTTTGTTGCATCAGTAAACATAATCGCTGGCTGGATTATGTTTTTTGAGTGAGTGAAGAGCTACCTTTATATAAATCACAGGGAGGTGGTCAGAGTGGACAGCAAGCATACAAAGCGTCACATATTGGTGTGTTCAGTAACTTGCCAGGTACACTAATTAACAACATTTTCTCATTATATTAATAGAAAATGTCAGTCTCTCAAAACATATTGGCTGTTCCAAATTAGTAGTATATACAGGTAATTTCTAGGTAACAACCCTGGTCATCAATCAGTGATGTCAACAATCGATCAAACAATGATGAAGATGAAGATAATTATGGTTTAATTTGGGGTCTTATATTTGTAGTTTTGAGTATCATTCTTATTGGTAATAACATTTTCTTTACATTACACAATAACATTGTACTAAGATCTTGGAGTGGGGCAACATTGCTAAAAAGAAGTCAGACCGTGCAAGAAACACAATCAGACAGATTTTAAATAAATCTCCAGGTCGGCCAAACAGGGCGAACAAAGGGGAATTATCACCCAAAGTACACCTGCTCAGACACAGTTACTAGTTTGCCAACATAGCGGAGCATTTAGCAGCTAAAGCATGTCCATTGTATTTTTTGTACTACGGTATAAGATAGCCAGAAGTAAACATGCCAGCAGCCCCACGTGACCCTTACTTTGCAGTTTGTATCGGTGCCTCAAGAGACATCCCACAGTTTACAGGCCAACAGTTAGGTTTTTACCTCCAGAATAAAGTGGTTTAGATAAACCGGCTAAACTTTTAGCTTGTGTGATCAGTTGACTGAGAAGACACATTGGGTTTCTTGCGCCATCAGACTCTGATGTATAGATGTTACCATGTTCCCAGATCTAAGCAGTTCTCTGGTGAGTACAATGTTATAATAACCTGTGGATGATGATGGTAAATACGATGAAAATAAGTTATAATAAACCAGTATATCTGTATTTTTCACATCATGTTTCCTTAAAGAAGTGTTATTGCCCATTACCACCACTTAACTGCGGTGAAACGAGTCCTAGGGTTTTTAGGATTTATATAGTAACTACCATTGAGACAGTATATATAAACAAGAAGAACTGTGATCCAGAGAAGCCTCTTTAAAACTGGCCTACCTGACTAATGTCTACTATCGTCATCAATGGTGATCCTGCTGATCTGAATTTACCTGAGCTCCGAGCTAATCCACGCTGTTCCTTAAAAGCACCTTCAGCTCCCTCTGCGAACAAGTAGCTTTACTTCACTGGGGACAGAAACCAAGAATAACCTCCAATCAAACCCAGTTAACCCTTCACCCAAAACCCCACAGTGCGCACAGTTAAAATAACCACTAACCCTAATCCATCAACTGTCTGTATGCTTCTTAACAGATAGCTTGTCCCTTAACAAGTAAACCAGAAAGAGGACAACTACGCTGTAGAGTGATTTTTTACCTGCAAACTGCATTATTCTGATAAGTCTGTTTTTGAGCCTTAATTGGTTTCATCATTTGCCTTATATTGTTTTGCCTATCACCTATACAAATTAAGCATTATGGTAAATGTTGACTATTAAAGTGTTATTTGAAACCTTATAGTCGTAGTCCCTATAGAATGATGCTAGTTCATTATAACTGCAGTTTCAGTAGTTGTTCTTACTGGTTAAACGTTAATAGGAATGCATAAAAGCACTTTATTGTTCTTTACATTCAGTATGACTTGAATTTTAAAAATGTGTTATTTAACTTAAAGTAAATGAGATCGTTTTGCTGTAAATATCCCACGTTACTAAATCTTTCATGTCCATGAGTTCCTTCAAGGTACAAGTGTCCTTTTGTAAAACCGCCTGTGTTGCTTTCATCTAATACTTTGTTTTTACAGTAGCAGAGTTGTGTAATAAAACTCCAGTCAAACCTCGGTGTGTGTTTTATCTGTCTAACAGCAGTCCATGGTGCGAATGTGACCTTCTCAACCCACATAGTTTATGATTGGAAAATGTGTCTCACACCATGTTAGTAATAATGATTATTAATCTGGGCTACTACACACACTCTAACACACACTACATTTGAAGGCCCATGAGACTAAAGGACAAGGAAAGTGAAAAGTCCAAACCAATGCCACAGCATGTGTCAAGTTCACCATGACATTACATATCCATGTGTGTGTGTGTATGAACAGCCTCAAACACGTCTATCTTCTAACTTTTAATGACAATGCCCAATGTTCAAAAGTACAAGACAATTTTTCCTTCAGTCTAAACAGTGTATCTCAGCTAATTGTAGGTTCTGTTCTCCAATAGTTAGTAAGAAATGTTTCAACCTTGTAATAATAGAATAATAAATTACTCGCACAAACAGATTTGTTAAAAGTCCTCTGTGGAATATTTATTTTAGGATCAATTGGTAGAATTTGAATATAATAGTCATAGGTGTGTTTTCATTAGTTTTCATTTCATTACCACTAAATTTTACAAGAACAACAAGTGATTTAAGAGAATCTGTGGTGTGAACCTGTTTTCTCTTTCTCTCTAAGTTTAAATATGATGATCAGGGTTAGAAGCTCCTGCGGTGTAAACTTCTGCTAAGACTTTTGTTAGTGTACTGTAACTTGCCCACAAACAGAGTTGAACAGGTAGCCTTATATTACGTGCACGTCCTTATGAACTGGTGACACTCGTCAGGCTGAAACGAGTGATTAACGACAAGTGTGTGCAGTTAAGAGAGTTTGATGAATCTGACTTGAATCACTCGTACAAACTAGTCTTACAGAAAAAAAGGAAGAGAGATGAAAATACGAGTAATGCAGTAAATGTGAGACATTTTATCCACTGTTAGAAGAAGAAGACAGATTTTTAAGAGAGTCGAAGCAGCAGAGGACGAGATATCCGGTCTTTTAGTACCTATGGGACAAGCTCCAAAAATGCTGCCTCCTATTTCCCATAATGCAACTTCATAGCATTAATTAGACCCTTCCTCTGATCACTATGACATCATCAGGGTTATTTTTGGTAAACTTTGGACATTGTTTTCATCGGCTGAGTAACAAACAAATAAAGCAGAACCAGAGATATTGTTTTTTTTATTCCACATATTATTCTTCCTTGTCAAAAACTCATTACCCACAACGCAACTTCAAGTTCTTTGTGAGAGTCAGGTAGGCTCAAGCGGAGATGATGAGCAAGCAGGCTACAGAGGTCTGCTGTAGTACTCCACCAGACCTTTGAAAGACTTTAGTGGCATCGAGTGGTGAAGTTTCAGATTGCAACTAACTGAATAAAACTTGCGTCTGTATTTGACAACCTGGGAATGAGACCGAGCTGTAAAGTGTGTAGGAGAAACTACACCACAAAAAAGCCCTGTCTAGAGCCAGTGTCTGTCCATTCTGGGTTACTGTAGAAACATGGCAGTTCAACATGGAGGGCAATGTAGATAAAAACAGCTCGTTCTAAGGTAACAAAAACACAATTCTTTTTTTTCATACACTGATGAAAACAAACCAACCTATAAATATTATATTACATTTCTGCCAATAGATCCTCCTAAATGTGATCATCAAAGTTAAAAGTTGTGTTGGCTTGTTGAGGGACTCAACAACAGTTAGCCAGTAATTTTGGCTTTGGTGCGGCTTCTAAGGTGGCAAATTTTTCAGGATTGGACCGAGCCTCCTGTACCCCTCGACACACCCCAAGTTAAACAAAAGTAAAACTAGCAGAAAATGTGGGAGCTTTTCTGAGAGTAAACACAAAAGTAGTGTTTAATAGCTCGGTAGATAGCTCATGTGTTCACACGGACAAACAAACTGCAAAATTAAGCAAATTGCTGAACACATTCAGATATTTTTTGTGTACACATATGTGTATCCAGGTACTGGCCTTTCTCTTTGTGGGTCCTGACCCACAAAATATCATTAAAATTAAATGAAAAGCTAATGTGCATCTTTTTATTATGCTTTAAAGCTGATATTCTGAAGAATTTCCTCTCATTCACACAGTCTGTCCAAAGTGTGTGAGAGGGACACCTGGTGGCCCGCTGTGACTTATGACAAAGAGGTCCTCTGAGGGCTTCAGCTGGCAGGAATCAATAAATTATGATTACCGGGTCATCGACTAAGGCTTGTTTGAACACTTTGGTCAACTTTACCCCTGGTCCAGCAAACAGAACAGGTTTCCTCCTAAGCAGTCACCTGTGTTTGTTTGATCCTACTGATACAATAAACTAGGACATTTGATTCCAGGAAATCACCAGTTAGATCCTGTTGTATGCGTTATATAATGGGGTCAATGCCCAGAAATAAAAATGTATCACTAAAAGCTTCTTTGGTTTTGTTTTATTTGTGTGTTGTTTTCTTTTTGTGTGTATTTTGTAGTTATGCAGCATTTAAGTCCTAGACAAAATTCACTATAGGGACAATAACGTATATTTTACTCTATGTTTTGAAATAAATACCTGTAAATCATTGTAAAAGTGCAACAACAAAAACTGTAGAACAAAGAACTACTGAGTCATTCTACATCAGTCCAAACAGGTAACCTGCTGATTATTGAAAAACTCTTCCTGGGATGGACACACACACAAATACACAAGGCCAAGGTTCAACACAGGGTACCCCATTAGGTGAAGTTTGGTTAAAGTGTGACTGGATATTGGTGTACACTTCATGTGCCTGAGAGCAGGCTGAAAGCATTACAGTTTAAACAGGCAGGGTATATATATGGGCAAGGAAGTGTTCAGTCAGCTCCAGAGGACCAACAATCCACAACACAAGACTGCATCTGTCAACCATGAGGGTCATCAGCATCGTACGTGTGGCTTAAATACATACCAAAGGCTATGCTTTCACTGTCATCATTTTGCTATTTTAACTGCTTGTAAATCTCTGTGCTGTCATTTCAAACACAGGGTCCAGACCCATCTCTGACATATCGGCCAAATCTGGAAAAGAATGAAACCAAAGAGAAGGAAGAATACAGAAACTTTGAGGTAAGCTTGAAAGCGCTTCTTGTTTAATGCTGCATTCATTTAGACATGAGAAACACAGACCGTTATTTCAATTATGGGAGTCTTACAATATGCAAAGACACTACTGGACACATATGTAAAGAGAGCTTATTTAGAAGTGTTTTTAAAAAGAAGACAACTCTGATCTCGGGTTTAAGGAAATTGGTAAAAATGTACCTATTCTGTGGACTAGATACTCAGACTGAGAGGACAATTTAACTTTATTTTCTGCTCAGGAGATGTGAATCTGCCTTACAACTGAGTGCAGCGTATAAATAAGCTTTTCGGAAACAATTTTTCACAGGAAGTGATCTATGATTACTTCCCCTAGTCAATCTCAATTATAATGAGGGCTGGATGCAGAGCTGCGGCTGCCACGATTCCCCTGTTAAAAACCTAAATCACACACATCATAATCTTACAGTACATCGCATTTTGAGAGGCTGTGTCATTTCAATGACTGTCCCTGGAGGGTGGCTTTAACTTACCTTCTCTCTCTGCACCAATTATTGGTATATTTTGCAGTACATCAAAATTGCTAGACCGCACAGTAGTTTGGCTGTCACAGGAACTTTTAATCATTAGTCATTTTCACTGATTATGTCTTCAAAAGTGGTGCATATATGTTGACATCCTATTTCCTTAATTCATATGATAGTCTATTGTAATAACACATTATAAAATCCAGTTTATGATCACACTTCTTATGAAATGCTTTTGCCGTCTCAGTAACGGTAGGTAACTCCATCAAAATGTTAAATCAGATTACAAAGGTGGGCTAAATAATTGGTGGGTCAGTGTATGTGCTACCAGCACGAAAAAATCTTCAGCTTGTATCATGCTTTGTGACTGTGGAAAAAAAGTGATGTAGTACACTGCTAGACACTGTGTGTGTGTGTGGTCACGAGGATTGCCAAAAAAACATTTCTGCTACAGAAGATTTCCGGTGGAGTAGCTCAATAGAATTTTATAAACATGAGATGCTGTAAATCTGTTGTATTGCATTTGTTTGTCTTTCAGAGTGGAAGCCTAATTGACCGTGTGTTCAACACATACAAGCTGATGCACACTAACCAGACGGTGGACTTTGTAAAACAAAGGGTGAGCAAATCAGAAACATGTGCACAAAAATTAGTCACCAAATGTTGTTTAAAATCGTCTTTACTGAGACACTGGGGGAGAAAAACATATCCAATATAAAATTAAAATTAAATCTAATGGTGCTTTCAATTCAAATATCAGTGACACTATTTTATGTAACTCTGTATTTTGTAAATTTGTTTTGCTCCAGATGACCAAGGGATCCTGTCAGACTAAGCAAACACATCATGAGCGTCACTCATCCAGCGCTCTAAAGTGAAAGCTAAACATAAAGAGCCAACAGACATTCTGTCTAGACCAAATGTTGTTTAACTAACCTCATTTTCATTTCTCAAAGGTTACAAAGAGACACGTTCCTGTTTTTATATTAGTGACCAAGCCATGGTCATTTCTCTGGGACTGTCATGGAGAATATTGTTAATATTAAAAGAGGAGAAGACCTTTTAGTTGAATTTGACGTAAAATATGAATGGCTGCAGGTGAATAATGACACTGTTATTTCTGTTCACTGGATGCATTTCGTTATGCATTTGAACAAAGCAAAAGCTTTCAATAATATGATTTTCAAATTAATTCCAGGCAAATCTGATCACATTATCCTTGAAAATTCAACAGAAAGCAATATTTCAAAAAGCTTTTTTTTCCAGGGCTGTTCAGAGGCTTTTCTATCATGTTTGAGAAATAAAATTTCCCCATCAATACTGTGACTCTTACCTCCCTGCAGCACTATGAATGGACGGGGTGCAACCACACTCGGATGGGGATGATGGACACCATCATGTCCCTAGACCAGCTGGTGGACGAGTCTGATCCTGATGTGGACTTCCCCAACTCCTTCCACGCCTTCCAGACTGCTGAGGGCATCCGCCAAGCACACCCAGACAAAGGTAGCATACAGAGAGATAGAGAGATAGAGAGAGAGAGAGAGAGAGACAGGCACATATACAAGTCTGGTAAACATCTGCATTCACCGTCACTCTGCAGACTGGTTCCAGTTGGTGGGTCTGATCCATGATGTTGGGAAGACAATGGCTCTTTGGGATGAACCCCAGGTAGGAAACAGGTTCAACACAGGAATATAAGTTAAATGTCCTACCTTAATGTCACACTTTTGTCTTCACAATCTCAATATTTCTACGACCCTTCAATAACCTCTAACTTTGTATATTTATGTATATATATATGGATATATAATTTATTCTAACAGCAGGCTGTGTATGCGCTCTGTAGTGGGCTGTAGTAGGCGACACCTTCCCAGTGGGCTGCAAGTTTCAAAACTCCATTGTGTTCAGAGACAGTACCTTCCTGGATAACCCAGATGACAAAAATCCCAGCTACAAGTTGGTATTTTTCATATTACATTACCAAAGTCTGTGAATGAAAGTCTGATGAGCTTTATATAAAGGAAAGCTATGACAATTAGCCAGCCAGTCACAAAGCATGTGTCCTGACTTTCAGATAAGAAATAGCTAAATAAGAAAAAAAAGAAAAAAATAAACCCTACCAATGAAATGTATTTTAAGTTTTCTACACTTTGGCATCACATTTGTGTGCCAGTTTTTTGCCTTCTGTAACAACACATAAGAACATTGTTAAAATATCTTCTTGATATCTGTAGTCCATAATCCATCAGTTTTAATCCCCATAATGTTATAATGCCATTAACATTACTCTCTCTCTCCTAGCCCTGTTTATTTCATAACTAGTTATCTACAGCACCTATAGGCTAGTTGTTTGATGTACTAGTATTTTGTTCTGTTATGCATTTCTCTATTTAGAACTGAACATGGCATCTATGAACCAAACTGTGGGCTCGACAGTGTGCTAATGTCCTGGGGCCATGATGGTAAGAGATACATACAAACTCTGCTCTAACTAATCACACGCACAAACATCCAGTATAACTTTTGAGGTGCCTATTTATCTACAATACCTTACCTGAACTCCTGCATTGTTGTCTTCAGAGTATCTCTACAGAGTTATGAAGTTCAACAACTGCTCTATCCCTGAGGAAGTGAGTAAATAATTACATTAAATTATTGTTAAAAGTTATGTTTTGGGCAATTAATGTCACAGTTGAAATGGAGGGAACGATGGTGCAAGGATTTTCTTTGCTCACCTGCAGTGCTCACAGGCTCAGTTATGTCTCTTTAGGGGTTGTACATGATTCGCTTCCATTCATTCTACCCCTGGCACTCTCACGGAGACTACATGCATCTGTGCAATGACAAAGACCTGCGCATGCTGCCCTGGGTCCAAGAGTTCAAGTGAGTATCTTCCTGTTATTATTATTATTATTATTATTATTATAATTATCCCAACTTGGTGCTTTGACCTGAAGTTGCATCTTCCATCCTTTCCACAGCAAATTTGACCTCTACACAAAAACCACCGACCTGCCTGACGTCGACAAGCTGAAGCCGTACTACCAGTCTCTGATTGACAAGTACTGTCCTGGAATACTGAATTGGTGAACGAGACAACACAGATATGTTGTCAGAAAACAGCTGATGCCTATACACACATATTACTGATCACTGAATATATTTCTATCAACTATCTACTCAGAATATAACCTAAGTAACTGTATATCTTACACTGTTATTAAAGAAACATATATCATGATTGTTACACATTTTCAACAAAAATAAATTCCAGAGAAGCCTTTCTATTTTACTGTATTTTAATATGTTATAAAAAACATTTTAAAAGTACTACAATTTGCGAGATGCTTCATTTCTAATACTGGCAGAAACAAAAGACACCTTTGTGGAAAAAAGGAGAAAGTGCAGACTTCTTTTAGTTCTGTACATACAGCGAAAGACCAGTGACAATATACCTTATGCAAACACACAAACGCAATACAAACAGGAGACAAAGAGAAACATGAACAACACACATTTACTCTCTTGAAACAGAACCCACCTTATATATTTAATTTAATATTTCTCTCTTTCAAAATGATTTGTTCTGCAGACTAGATTTAATTTTGTTCAACTGAAGTCAGAACCAACCAGGTAGGTGTAAGCGAGTTGTTCCTGATGTAGACAACTGATATACAGTATGAACAATGCACTGCAGTAAAGTGGCAAACATTTGAAGGCAAATTAAATTAATTTAATATAACTGGCTGATCTGGAAATACAAATATACACAGAACAATTCCTTTGGCCATTTTGTTTTTTAAGAAGGCAGGTGGTGATAACAGTCTACTGTGGGGATCTTTTTCAAAACTTTCTTTTTCCGAGGTTCTCATCTTTTTCTTTCCTGTCTTCTTCCTCTACCCCTCTCCTCCTTCTCTTGTGCCTCATCCTCCTCTTCATCACCAACAGTGTCTTTCTCCTCTCCCTCGCCCTCCTCAACTTCATCTTCACTGCCCTCTCCATCTTCCGCCTCCTCCTCCTCCTCAACTGCCTGCTGTTCACCTGACTTCCCACAATGGTCTGAAGAGTCAGGTAAATTTTCAGTGTGATCGCTCAACGTCGTGCATTTACTCCTGTTTTGCAATCCCAGGAGCAGACAGAGGGTGGTGCTGCAGACAATGAGGGTCCAGATTAGTATGGGGGCAGGAACACCTCTGACCTGAGAGCGCACCCACCTGACCGCCTGGGCAACAGTGGTGTTGGATATTCGACGTGGAGGCGCTTTGTCCTACAGACAAAATGAATATGAATCAATCCTGGGGTGGAGTTTTTTTTATTTCTATCTCATTTTTAAAATATAAATTTACCTTGAGTCCATATTGGTTGAGCATGCTCTCCAGGAAGGTGTTGCCCAGGTGCACTGTGGGATAGAATTCCTCATCATAGACCCTCCGCCACCAACGCTGTGGGTATGTACTGCAACAAAGACCAGCTAATCAGTAAATATCCTGTCGTTTATGTGAGGTTCCCTACAGGAAAGTTGTAGACAGTGTACAATAATGACGTTCAATTAAAACCATGTGTGACCTTCACATAATATAGAATATACTTCAACATTTTTAGGATGAGGTTTTGAGGATGTATGTTTGCGTAGGAAATATTAAGTGAACATGATGCCAGCATGCACACTTAACTAATTTAATTCACAATCTTTTTTTGATGTAATGTAAAAAATCATGTTAGTACTAAGTTTCAGGTCACCCCAAACCAAGTATTATCAGATTTCTTCAGTCCATGTAAAACACACTGAGACAGACAAAGGTACAGAGAGGGACAAAGACAGAGAGCACTGACCCGTCAGCCTTTGGCTCAGTGAACCAGTATCTGTAGCGGTGGGCTCGGAGGTAGGCGGGAGGCTGCTGGTGGAACGGATACTGAGACACATCAGTCTGGATCAACTCTATCACTGCAGAACATAAAACATTGCTTTCAGAGATCAACTTGTTCTTAAAAAACAAACAAAAAAACACCCCAACTGTCTTGTTTTGGTAATTTAACACTGAATCATTACAGGTAGAGAACATTTTCTGCACTGTGCTCTGTGGGCTGAAACATTTTGGTACCTGTAACCCGGTGTAAAAAGGTGAAACATGAGGTTTTAAACAATAATTAAGATGACTTTTTATTGTGGTTTCATCACTCGTCAAAGCTTGAAGTGCGTGCTTTTCTCGATTGTTCCACTTGGGGGCACCAAAGACAAGTTTTGAAATTCCACACATAATGTTCCTGACTGGGTGATAGTGTGAGCACAGATGCACTGATGCAATAACCCAGGGCTAGATTCACTTCCCAATTGGCACTAAGTTCTGCTCCCTGAAAAGCAGTGCAGTGGCAGTTTTCTGCCCCGTTTAATTCTGTGTTGAATTGTCCTTTGGGGGAGGAGTGACAGGAGACCCAGCAAACAAAAACATTAGCGTACCATCTCTTTTGCCCTGCAGCAGCTTGTACATGAGGCTGGTGAACCACGGAGCCTGTGTGTGAGTCCCGAGAGCTGCAAACCACATTTGCCAGTCCAACCTGGGCTGGTGAGGGGTCACCACAGAAGGGGGTGCACTTAGGTTGCCTGGCTTATACATAAACTCAATCTCCTACAAGGGAAAAAAGAAGACGCCGATATGAAGAATAGTGCAGAGAAGCAGTACACTATGGTGCTACAGTACAGTTACAGAGAATCTTATACAGCATGCTCAAAGAAAAATTAGCAGTGCGGCCCTGTCATCATCAACAGGCATATTTCGATCCTGTTTTCGTCCATGATAACTTTTTTCTCTCACCGTCCACGACACTCCATCGTTGCTCCCCTCAATGACAACCTCTGGCCGCCCACTGACCCCGGTCATCCTCCTGAACAGGCCGTATGAGTTGACCAGCTGGTAGCGATCAACCAGATCGTAGGCCCGACGCACGCCCGGCCACAACCTGGCATTAGAGTCAAACTCTATGTAGCTGAATGGCACCTGGGAAAAAGAAAGTTGGGAAATTATATTATTACAACAGATTAAGGGGAAAAATATAGCCAGGGATTGTTAAACACAGATATTTTGATCAATCCAGGTTCAACTACATGACACATTATGATATGAAGTTCAACCATTACTGTATTTCCAGCAGCACCCACCAGACTGATAGTGAACATAGCAGCGGTGGCAGCAGCAAACACAGTCCACTGGACAGTTCCACAAAACCTCTTCAGAAAACCAGACACACAAGCACACCTAAACAAAAAAAAAAAACACACACACCAAAAACATATTACATGTTATTGTTGTACTTCTGCTGCGCACGCACGCACGCACGCACGCACGCACGCACGCACGCCTTCTTCTCCCTGATGATTGGCCGCTGCTCTATTAGCGCTCTGGTTGTTTTAACTGATTACTTTTCTAAAGTCTTCACACTTATCCTGTGAGATTCATTTTAAGTTTATATCTTAAATCATAATTTATACTTTAAAAATAACAAATTAATTCAAATACACTTTCTTCACAAAAATGAGAGCTTACTATAGAAAATATACTATACCATTTAAAAACATCAAATAAATTTGACCAGTTTTTTCATAAACTTTTATTCAATTAAAACTAAAAAATATAGTGAAGATTTCTGAATGTAGAAATATGTACAAAATATTTCAATTCAATTCAATTCAATTCAATTTTATTTGTATAGTGCCAATTCATAACAGAAGTTATCTCAGGACACTTTTCAAATAGAGCAGGTCTAGACCGAACTCTTTTTATGGACACAAAAAATTAAAATTGTTTAGGTTTTGAGATATTCTCATTTTTATTGTAATTTTTAAGCTGCTCCTCTCCTCCGTGTGTTGTCACCCCGTTTTGAACGTAACGTAACAACGCCATCCGTGATGATGTTAAAGACGGAAGTCATAGCTTTCCGCAGCTAAAATAATGAACGCTCGCTCTATTATAGTTTTTATCTTACATCGATTTAAACAAGATAATGCAGGAGGTCAGTTTATAAGAGGGTTTACACACACAGGAAGAATCCTACCTGAACATGGATGTGACCATTTCCCAGGTGAGTGAGAGGACACCAATCCAGATACAGGGGATAGTGACAGTCTTCAGAAACTGGTTAAAGTGGTGGTATGTGAATGCTGCAAGAATGCAAAATTTAAATGAAACAAAACCTTAAAAATGCAATTGTTTCTATCCACAAACATTGCACAATCACACACACAACCACAAACAGAAACACACCTATCCTGGAGGAGACGATTTTCTTTGTTGTATCCAGCTGAAGGTCGAAGCACATAACTGCTCCAAAGATGATGAGAGACCAGACTGCCAGCTCCAGCAAGTAACACAGCCAAGACCACAGCTTGGAGTCTGACCAGATCAGAGAGAGCGAGAGAGAGCGAGAGAGAGCGAGAGAGAGAGAGAGAAAGAGAAAGAGCGAGAGACACACACACACACACACACACACACACACACAGAGAGCATGAGGATACTCTCGTAAGTGAACTACAGCACAATGGACAAACAACTCAGGTCCAAATTCAAGCTTTTAATGTGGGTCCCTCTGTAGGCAGGATTCAGATGTTTCGTTTAAATATGGAAAACTTATAGCTCTGTAAAATGATTTACCATTTAAAAACTTTAGAAGTGTGAACAGTGATACTGATTTTCCTTATTTTTCTACACTTGTTTGTGTAGCCTACATAGCCAGTATCATTATCATACCGTTGTTGGTGATCTTGTCTGCCTTGCGTAGCCAGAAGTGTACGTGCTGGTCGTCCAGAAGCGACAGACTGAGGGCCAGAGTCAGCAGGTTGAAGAAATTGTAGTTGCCAGTCAAAATGATGAGCACCTGAAGCAGCACCTAACACAAGAAATAAACCCAAAATTAACCAACTATTTCTTCCACTGCACACAAGCAGGCTGCTATTTATTTTACTAAGTACAATGCTTTACATGCAAACTCTTGCTAAATGTAGATTATTTAGTAGTTTGTGGGAAATTTGAGCAGTGCAACTTTCCATCTAAACATTCACCACTGTACAAACCGGGGTAAACCCTGCATTAAGAAATGTTAACCTAAAGTTGTTTGTTTATATCCAAAGTTAACACAAAACACAACTACTACTGAGCAAATTAAAGGAGAGAAAACTAATTTAGAGACAAATTGATAAACTGCAATTTCTACGAACCTGCATGTAAAAAGCTCCGAGCCGGAGTCTGCGCAGTGGGCTGAAGAAGAGTAAGGGAACAGCGATCTCAATGACGAATGTCCCCATCACACTCAGCTTCTGCCACCACACTGGCAGCTGGTGGGCAAACCAGGCCAGAGGGGTGGGGATACACTGAGTCTCATAGTGATATGTCAGAGCTGTTCAACAAGAAGTAAAAAGAGCAAATTAATCCCAATAGTTTACTAACAAAAAGAAAATAACAGTCAAACTGCAGTAATGTCCTCTCTTCAGGGATGTACACCTTCCAACACACTCTGCAACCAATCTGCATCCTTACTTACAAACTGGTGCGATCTCTTAAGGACGCTCATACACACCTGTCAGGCCCCACCATGTGGGACAACGTGACGTGAGTTTCACCACACCAGAGGCAAACATGAGCCTGAAGAGCAACCAGCGGATCAGCCAGAAGGTCACACGATCGTGCTCTCGGACCCCTCGTGACCCTCTGATTAACGTCAACGGAGCAACAAGGATACAGAGGAACCCCGTCTCCAGGAGCAAGTTGTCCCTGGACGGTGGTAAGGAGAAAGAGCGACAGGAAATAATGAAATGTGAGGAAACAAGGAATAGCCAGACAGAAAGGACTAGGGAACAAGGGTTGTTGTTGTTCCACTTTAGGGATGTCTGCAGTGTTGTTGCACAGCAGCAGAGACAAACATTACCGAGATGTTACAAACAGTGGACTGAGGATGACATAATACTATCAGCAAACTGCCAAAACCATCTTCGGCTCTTTTAAACTGCTGATATTTACAGCACTATGGTGATAATTTAATAAAACAAATAACGTAATAAAAAGACCCACAAATCATCACTCACCACTGGAAGTAGAGAAACACCTGACCCACCTGAAACAAGAAACAAAAATGACCAGTGAGAGAAGGGACAACTACAGCAACCTGTGAGAGAAAAACCAGGCACGGTCGATACTCACCTGGTACATGGACAGGTACAGAGCCCAGAGGCAGAAAAACACCACACTGTCTCGAAGGGCTTCCACCAGCGTGGCGGCGAGGCTCAGCGCGGCCCCTATGAGACACAGCAGCTCCATGGCGTTGTGCGTGTCCAGACCGAGATAAGGTCCCAGCCACAGAAGGGTGGGAGAGGTCAGCAGCTGCTCCCCTAGAGGCTTACCGCTGTACCGCAACTGCCAACGAGCAGGCAGCAGCCCCTCATTCCCATAGAGACCTAGAAATACACACAGACGCGGATCAACGTAAATCCAGGACACCTCGTGGGCGTCAAGTCTCCAACTCTGGACACCAAAACATATCTGGTGTTGTGATGTGTTGGTGGTGAGCGCCTGTGAAAGCCACAGCATATAATTCACAACATTTTATACACGTCAAACCATTAGTGATATGTTTCTCCACTCATTTATTCAGCGTCTCTCAAATAGGGGTACGTGGGATACTCTTGAGCACTGTAGAGGGCACCTGAGATTGTTTTTTAAATGTTAATTTAATTCCTAATTATTATATTATAATAAAAAACTAAAAAAAAATTTAAATCTAAGTTTGATAAAAACCACATTTCACTGCAGTTGCCTGCCACTGAGAATGACAGAATGACTCATGTTTCTCACTAAATTATAAAGTGCAACTTATCAAAAAGACGCAGTTAAGTGTGACTACAATATTGTGGTTTTATTGCATGATGACAAAAAAATTGGTTTGCCATTCATTTAGTGGTGGATTATAAACAATTAAAATAAATTAAGCATTTAAAGTGTTTTTCATTATAAATCAGACACTAATGGCCCAGCACTGTCCTGTATTTTTTATATAGGAATTTCTTTACTATCAAAAATGTTTTTGCAATATATATGAAAAATATTTTAAATTAATAAAAATAAATAACTAACTAATGAGAACCACTCCTGTAGACTTTGATCGGGATTAAAGTCGCCAGCCTGTCACAGACAACATGCATATTAAACTGTGTTTACATGCTTCATAGTTTGATGTAATCCAGATTAATTACTTGTGTTTAATTTAATTTATAAACCTGAAACTAATCAATAGGCTGGCAACTGCAGATTCCAGGTTTATAAACCAGTTTTAAAATGTTATTTTAAATGCAAATATTTAATAAATAATATTTAAATGAATTACTGTGACAAAAAAAAATGAACATTTCCTTTCACACATGGGCGTTGGCGACGTCTTCTGGACCCCCTGCTCCTTAAAGAAGGAGGTTTTGTGGGTGCTGTAGTTACAATACACTCCTCTCATGTGTGCGTATTTACAACAGGTTGGGTCTCCCTCTGGTTAGCTCGTAAAAGTTCAGCTAGGAGCAGGGAAACCTTTGGGGAAACTTCCAGGCGGTTCTTAGCCACATATAAAACACAGAGAGAGAGAGAGGAAGACAGCTAACAGCGGCTAACAAGGCTAACACACATTAAAGGCAGCATTAAGTTCAGTGACGCTACGTTAGCTTTTCCACACAGGCAGCTAAAGTTGTGAGTCTCACCTGGTATCTGGACGTAGAGGGAAACAAAAGCAGCCAGATAGATGACCGCCATGCACCAGAGGAACATGCGCCGTGGCAGGACGATTTCCCCCATGTCTGAGCCCGAGATGCTCTTGGAGAGACGGGAGAGACGGGAGCAGCCGCTGGAGTTGCCGATTTCTTTCCGTTTTCCTGTGGCAGGACGGTGGGGGGGGGGGGACGCAGGGAGCTTTAACGTAGCCGGGGGGCGCGGACACGTAGCGGTTGGGCGGTTGGGCGGTTTGGGTGATGCAGCGACGCCAACGGCCGCCAGAGGTCGCTAAGGTTCGGGCGGCCGTTGTGCTGCATTCAAGTGACATCGGGAGAAACGTGGTGTGTTTGAAAGGTTGGTTATTTTTAAGGGATGTTTTTAAAATATAAATATAAATTATATATATATATATATATATATATATTTTACGTTATTTTCATTTCACACGTTTTGAACGCCCCCATTCTGATAAACACATATATTGATTTTGTGATTTAAAAAAAACCAAATTTAATCACAAAATAAGCAACAGATCAATCCATAATTACTATAAAAAATAATAATAATTATAATTAAAAATAATTATTAGTTATTATTATTAGTCCTATTTAGAATATTTTAAAAATTAGCTCCACCACAACCAACTACAACAGAATAAAAAAACCTGCCTTTACATTACCGTATAATAACCAAATTATATAATATATAACAGTACACAAGTTACAGGGGGGTATCTGCATTGGGTACTTTTGCTCTTAATACTTTAAGAACATTTTCCTGAGTATACTTACTTATATACTTTAACTTAAAGCAGCAACAAGAGTTTTTTTTACTCTGGTTGTCCCTGTGGACAAAAGCATGTAAAGGGAGATCTGACCCTGTAGCAGGCATTCAGATTAACTACATTGAAATAGGTAATCTAATCACCAGTGGCTGTAGATCATATAGAGGCATCAGTATTTAACTGAGACTGTTTAATAACTAGTTAAAACAGTCCTTGTAAACGGTTAAGGTAACATTTTCAATGCAGCACTTTTACTTTTAACAGTATTTCTTTCACAGGATCTGAATATATATCCTTCATCACTGGCTGTGAGCCAAAAATATTATCATCAATTTACTGTTGATTTTAAAAAAAAGTGTGTTCATCAGCCAAAAGATGATGATCAAACAGATGCATCTTTCTTTGAGTTTATTGTGCAAGACTTACCAGGCAAGCATACAGATTCATGGCAATAAAAAGTAGGTCTGCATGCTGCTAGTCAGAAAGCAAATGCATCTAAGTATGTACATTCAAGTTTTTAGACACAAATATAGGAAACCGATCACAAACAGATTAGAGTATCACTAATTCTCTTGACACGGTGAGTCAAAACATCAGGGATTGATTGCACAGGCAAAAACGAGCAGTTAAGTTTCATAAAGTCTATGTTACAAAAATACTAAAATCTTTTTTTTAGAGAACATTTACACAGTTTATTTTCAGGTGGCACCTAAACCAGAAGATGCTTTTTCCAGCATTGGACATTGAACGTCGAAAAAAGACAGATCAGTAGCAGGACTATTACTCAGAACATGAGCTCCAAAGCAACAGTGATGAATCTGACAATGACAGCAAGAAGCATCCAGAGGAAATCACCCTAGAGCTGCAAGTGAAGCAAAAGTTACTTCAGTTCACACAGCTAAAAAGGTTTAATTCAGTCAAAGCGATCTCAAAGACTTTATCCTATGAAATATCCTTGGCTTCCCTAAAGTCCACATTGTATGACTAAGACTGCAAGTCTGTTTCATTTATATCCATCTGACCATTATACCCATCACCATTTGCCCTCTCACACCAGATGTACATGTGAATACAATGCATACACATTATGCCATTTCACCATTTCAAGGTGAAGAAATAAAAATCCTAATCATTTTTTATTTATAAAATAATCATTGGAACACAACGCCAATGGTCGTTCTAAAAGGAAAATTACTGCCCTATAGAAAAATATGTTCATTGCCTGAAATCCTCCCCAACTGATGCATGAAAGAACAAGACTGACATTTGACACTTTGAGGGAATTTGATTATCTTTAGGATACTGCTTGTGAGCAATACTGTGACAGTAATTAGGTTAGATTACCAATCAAATCAATACAAAATCTTATTTAAACATTAAAAACAGGACACCAGTTAACTAGTAGGTAATTATAACAAAATGGCATCACAGATGTGTCTGGGTTGTTTGGATTCTAGCGTCAACATTTCCATTCTTGGGTGGAGAGTACCAGCCTTGTTGGAAATTGAATACTCTGCCTTTGCCTGACACAGTTTTTATCATGTGGTTACTTTGAAATGAACAGATGGGCCTTTAATCTGGAAGTTACTTCAAATCGTAACACAGAGTGAGAATCTGACTGCATTTAAATGAGTCGATGGCATACAACTGTGTCTGTCCCTTTTGGCATGGCCATTTAATGACTCCGCCTGTGAGCTGTGGATGGACAAATTAGTCATAGCTGCCTCAAGCGTCACTTGTGCCCACACACACACAACGGGATGGCCAACGTACTGTAGCTTTGCGTGACCCCACAATGGACGGTTGTAATACAGAGACAAAAGTTAGATGCAGAGAAGTCCTTTGGCTGTTGATGTTTTAACCAAAACGTTTTTAAAACCCGCTCAGATGACCTAATTCCCAAAAGAGCTGCATCAGTATCTCCTGCACTCTCGTCGAACATAGAAAAACACAAGGAAACAGTCTGCACTCTTATATTAATACAGACTGCATGTTTATGAGTGTATGTGAGTACTTTTTGTTCTTTATTACCTGTGTCCAACCCTTTGGATCTTTTACAGAGTTTTAAGGCAGACAATAAATGACTCATATTTGAACGGCTAGACTCCGAGTGTGTGTTCACTCATATTGTGTGTCCTGCAGGCAAAGTGAGGCTGTGTTTCACTGTCATGTAGCCCCATCTGTTCCGCTAGTGCAGGTCTGTCCGATATTTGTCATTGAGGGAATGGGCTCCTGGTCCGTTTCCCTGACACAGATGACGGCATCACCACTCACATTGATGAGACACTGAGCCTATAAAAGAGGAACAAAGAGAGGAGGATTAAACCATAAGAACACCAATAATTTTAAGGGTCTGAAGATGCCAAGAGTAGTTCATTGTGCTTTCATGTATGAATGGATTGTTGATGTTCTGTGATGTGCATGAGTGTGTTTGTGTGGGTACCTGGTTCTTGTTTGGATTTTCCATAAACACACACTCTTTCATGCTGTAGGACACAACTGCATTGCCTCCCAGGGCTGCTACATGGGCTCGAACCATCGCAAACACCTCTGCAATGAATGAATGGAGGAAGCCACTGACGCCGCCTTCCTGCAGAGGACAAACACGCACATTTCATGTAAACAGGTACATCTACACATTGCACAAGATAGAGCCAATGGACGTGGCATGTCCTTGCAGTCGTACCTCCCGTAACGATGAGGTCTCTCTGATGAAAAACATGTTGATGATCCCAAGGTATTTAATGATGCGTGTCCCAGGGAGGAAGGAGAGCGGTGTCATCTTGACTACGGTGACTGAACCGCCCGCAAACGAGCGATTGGATCGCAGCGAGCGGGAACGTCCCTCCGGCAGTGGACTGGAGCGGTCCAAAGATGAGACTGCAGGTTCAGAGAGAGCAGGTAGAGGTCCAACAGAGGAATACGTGAAAAGCAAACAACAGGAGGGGAGGGAGGAAAAAAAAGACAAAAAGGCAATGGAGATACCAGAAAACACTCAAAAATAGTGGAAAAATTAAAAGCAGATATGGACTTTAAAGCAGAAAGAAATGTGAATGTGGAATGTACGTGGAAAAATGCAATCCTGCATTTGCACAGCAGGAGTAACATGTGTGTACACTTATATGTGACTGAATCTGTGTGTGTTAGGTAGGTAGGTGTGGATGTGTGGTGCAGATATGTGGTGCCAAGACAATCATGTGGAAAGCGTGCGCTGCCATGCATTCATGCAGTTCAGGCAAGCAGAAAAGACAGTTACACAGTGTCTGCAGACAGACAAACAGACCTGGGCACAGCTGTGTATGCTTACGTGTGTGAATACAATATTTGCAGTACAGTGAAGTACATGGGAGGATATTTGTGAAAGAGGTCTGAGAAATGGAGACGGACAGAGACAGCTATGAGCTGAGCTGGGCACATGTACACAAGCCAGAGTGTGAAAGATGCGCCATCGTCTTACTGCAAATTTACCTGATGTGGCTTACATCCATCAAACCAGGAACCTTCAGAGCCACACATTACTGTAGTTCACTTACAATGCACAGGACTGAAAATCATACCAGATCTTGCAGAAAAGCATTTCCCCAGGCCCCACTGTGATTTCTACCACATTCAGATTTGTATGTGTACAGTACATCCTCAAGTCATGTAATGTTTTCCCAGCTTAGATAGATTCACGATTGCAAATGCGGGGGAAAAAAATCAAAGGAATTCTTTCCAGTAATTGTCATCAAATTGCGGCAAGTTAAATCCAAGCACGCTGAATGAAAAAAAAAAAAAAAGCTTCCTATTTATTGGTCACGGCTACCGCTGCTAGAGGCACTTCAAAGCCAAGCTGCCGATTGTGGATCCCTCTGAGGGGCGGGGCTTCAACTTTCACACTCTAGCTATAAAGCTGGTGGTTGATTTGCGATGCTCCGCCCCCCAGCGACATGCATTGAGGGGTGTGTGAGTGTATGCGAGCGAGCGTGTGTGTGTGTGTGTGTGTGTGTGTGTGTGGGATTGCTTGTCTGTGTTCTGTATTTGTGGGTATGATCACCAGAGTGTGCTAGAGACTGTGTCCTCCTACTTGTCTTAACTGATCCTCGTCTTATGGTGTGAGCTTTCAGCCTAAGCAGCTCTAGCCAGGTGCTGCATCTGTCTGCAAAGGAACCGTAATCAACGGAGGCAGCTGGAGAGAAACACACACACACACACACACACACACACACACACACGCACACACGCACACGCACACACAGCCCACACCCAAACATACACAAACGCAACAACAACAACAAAAAGAGAAAAATACAAAACAAGACACAAAAAAAGAAACAAACGAACAGAAAAGAACAAAAGTGGATGAGGTTTGGGAGCGGTGCAGAATAACTCTGTCCGAGACAAAAGGATGAAAAGTCAAAACAGGGCAGTGTAGTAGTTTTGGTAGCAGGGAGGTGGGTTAGGGGTAGATGGTTGAGGAGAAGAGGGCTTACCTCTAGATGAGACGTTGGTAGTCTCTGGGACACCTGTCACACACACACAAACATCACAGTCTACCTTTGTGCTTGACAGAGAGCAGGAAGGGTTCGGGGTCAATTCCTCGCTCTTGCCACAAGGCTAACACAGCATGTGTTACCAAGCTTTCACTTCAAAATCCAAATGTTTTGTCAATCAAAATGCTCCGCCTATAGTCAGTACTTGCTAGAGCGCTCTTATTACTGTGTGTGAATGGAAAGTAAGCCATGCTGGTTTAGGAGCATGACGTCTCATCTAGACAACATCACACACTGCCCCATCTAAGTTCACATCAAAACAGAACACACTGACTGGGCTATGATACACCAGCATTTATTTACCTGCTGAACGGACCATAATCAGCTGATTATGACAGAGTTTTGCAGCTGGGGTGAGTAAAGAGACTGTACCTGAAGTGTTAGTGGAGGAGATGGGCAATGACTGTTAGTGAGGCAGGGCAGAGGAGGTGGTCAAGGAGCAAATTACAAAAAAAAAACAAGGTTGGAGGCTACCTGAGATTTTGGATGATGGCTGATTGTTGGCAGATGACGCGTCTGCACACAACTCCAAGGGAAACTGCAGCTGATCTTCGGTCTCACTGCATCCTGAAAAGATTCACAGAATCACCCAAGTACTTTAGCCAGATTTCAAACACAAGAAAAAGAACAGAAGTGATGCTTCTTAGACGGGTTACACGACTCAGGCTAGTGTGGTCTTAAAAGGATAGTCCTGTTTTCCGACTTCACTACTACTGAGACAAACTCTTAAAGGCCTTTATGCGTTTCTGCATGCAGAAAACTCATTATATTCAACTTCCAATTTACTTCTATAAGCACCCACAGTGAATTAATATGACTATTTGACACTATGGTACAATGGAAATGTTTCTTAAATAAAGCTGTTAACACTTGACAAACGACAACGTAATTACAACTTAGTGTTGTCAAAAATGTGATTCCCTACATTTGAGCAAAGCTGCAACTGATGCCACATATCCAAAGCTACAGTGAGCTGCATGCATACGAGGTATCAATGATTGTCTAATTAGGGTTAAGAAGAAAACATTAAAAACTTAAACAAAACCATAAATAATCTCCTTTAACCAGACAGACCTTTGGTAATGGCCTTTTCTGCTGGCTTCTCCTGAGTCTGGTCTTTGTCAAACGTCATGGCAACCGCTGTCACAGCGACCTGGGAGGAAGACAGCAGCAAGTAAAGTTGTAAAATGTAAATTTCAAAATGTTGTATTATGTTTTTCAACAACAAATCAAAGATGGCCTACAATTTCTCACCTGTATGAGTTCTTCTTCTGGCACTGCTACGGTGAAGTTGAGACGACAAAGACAGCAGGGGATCATAGAGCGCAGCTTGAAGTAAAAACTCTGTAACAAACCCAAAACATAAACATTGCAAGTACCATCATAAACAGTGTAACAATGCTCATTCCAAAGGATAAGCATGGCACCACATATGGCATAATTACTTGTGATAATCAATAAGGGGTTCTTACCTTCAGCAGATTCTCACATAGGTCAGTGAAGATCTTGTTCAAGCCTTGGTTAGTAAGATTGGCATTACTCAACCTAAGGACCCTCACTGATGTAAACATCTGGAGTACAGGGACAGAAACATAGCATAAACAAACAAAATAGACAAATCAGAGCTACTTTCTTAATGCTTTCGCTGTATTATGACCAGTATAGTGACCTGAACCCCGGAAGTCCAGTTGTAAATCCCAGGCATGACCTCAGTGTTGCAGCTGTAGAAACCTGAAAACAGAAAAGTGCAAATGGAAAACAGAAATAATGACATTTGTAAGAGGCTCGACCCAATCAGGAGATAACTGGCATGTGCAGTGTGTGATGATGTACTGTAACTGCAGTAGAGTGAGTAGATAGAGCGTACCTGTAGGGGTAGGGGCATCAGTGAGGAGGGAGTGGATGTCCTCCACAGCATCCGTGTCATCAATCTATGGAAATCACGGCAAATGGTTACACTTGTCCATGAGAATAATTGCATATAAATGTATATATTTTCATAAATATACACCTCCAGGACGAAGGCATCCTTCTTTCCATGCGAGAGATCGAGTTCTGACACCTCGTCTGAGCTTTCTGAGTGGGAGCGGAAAAGTCTGGATCGTTGCCTCGGGTCAGGAATTGGAGAACCCACCACTTCCTCTGTCAGCTCCTGCAAACAAATGGGACACAAGGCCTGAGCAGACGGGATGTCAAAGTGAACACCAGCACAGCAGCCCACATCTGCATCTCACATCTGCCCAGACTATACAGCTAGTAGAAAGACTATGTTAATAACACACCACATGCTCACACTCACTCTCACTCCGGTGTTAATTTGAATATGAATCTGGAAGAGTAAGGAGTGGCGCAACCCCAAACGCACTAACAGGTGAGACAGTGAATGGGCAGGGTAGATGGTCATAATAGAAATACATTAACACGGATACAACACGGAGTGTCCAGTGGGTTGCCCCTCGAGAGGTGACTCTGGAGTGGGTTACACATCGTCCTGCTCCCAAATGTCCCCAGTTAAGAGCTGTTATACAGTTATAGTAAAAGTGGTGTAGTATTACGATTAATATAGTGAAACATTTGTCATGCTTTGCTGTGTCTCACAGCTAAAAGTTGCCGTGCTCAGTACCATGTTTATGCCGCAGAACACCTCAGGGTCCAGGGCAAATAATTTCTTTAATGACCAGAGAAAGACAAGAGGTGTAAGTTTATCATGATTCACAAAGAACAGACTATATATAATGTATGATTCAGTACATGATTTTAACACTGGAACAGAGAGAATTATACTCAAAATAATGGAAACAGCTCACCGCTGAATTTATCTATTTGTGTAAAAGAATCACTGCAACCATTGTGTAAAATAAAACCTAATTAACTTGATATAACACTGTATGTGACACTTCAGACAATTCCAGCATTTAAGGGCCATAAAAATTATATATTATTCTGACATATGACATCCAAATCATAAAAACACTTTTTTAAAATCAGGGTAAATGCTACGTTTCCAACACATCTGAACAAATGTAAACCTTTTGGTTGAAACAGATTCAATATTGCCATGGGCTGTACTGTTAACAAGAGTCACAATTCCCCCCACATGACACCCTAGCTACTCTAATGTTGACATGAAACATTGTAGAAAACCTACTTGACGAAGCAGCTACTGTGCACATGTGTTGTGTGTCTCACCGGAGGGTTTATTTGATAGAGCTCTTTGTTCTTGGCTATGGTGTCATTAATCCTTTTCTGGATGGTGAGGATGTGCTGCTCATTGCTCAGGTCACCTGGAGTCTTCCCCGCAATCTGGATGCCCCCTGGTGCCGGCAGGGCCGTCAGGTACACTCCTGTAGCCGACTGAACGCACATATTCACAAACACATTTTAAGAGGACTGTGTTGTAGCAAACACACGTACGACTGATTAAGCTGTTAACCTAAAGTGTTAACCTACAGCCAGACCCAGAAGCATGTTCTCTCCGACACTGATCTGTATGTGTAAACCAAACAGAGCGTTCATGCTCCGCAGCTTCAGTTTGTTCATCAGCTGGGTGTGCAGCTCATACTCCATGAAGGGCAGCAGGTTGGAGATGGCGGTCGCGTTCACTTCACCCTGAGCCTTCTTTTTTAGACGACACAGTCTAGAAGACAAACACTGGCATTAACTCACTTTGATCAATATCTTTGATGTGGGCATCAATTTGGGATGTGTGTTGTTCAGCCTTCATGCTGCCCCTTCTGCTGCTATTACTTAGAAAAGATCAAAGAAATTCAGCACCATCATTTTGGAGCCATTTAACTGTGTGATGTATTACCTGGCCTGTATTAGGCAGCCCTTCCCTGTAACAGCTGCTTCTGGTGGCAGGTCGATTGTTGTGAACAGCACATCCGGAACCTACAAAAAAACATTATTAAAAATTAATACATACCACCAAACTGCATTTATACACTGGACAACCAAAAGATATTTTTTAACATGTGGGGGTCTTTGATAGATGTGAGACCTTTTGTCGTCTGCAGTGGTAACAGTAGGTGAGCTGGGCGGGAAAGGGCATGTTGAGCTCGTCGTACGGGATGTGACAGAAGCCACAGCTCGGGGGAGAAGGCTCCTCAAACCTGGAGAACAACACACACCATCTGCCATCAGCCTCCAATCCAAGCTGTACTGACATAAACTGTACACATTACAAGAATATAAAATTAGTTTGCTTAGTCTCTGAATCATAACAACCTGTGGTCGGTGATTCCCATGTCCAGGCAGCCTTCACGCATATACCGAGGATTCAGGATGGCTGCTGTGCCTGATGCTGAGAGGATACACACCTCCTCACTGTGTTGAAGGGAGATGGACAGATCAAGAGGGAAAGAAACAGAGGAGGATGAGAACAAGACATGAAACTCGTGTGCTTAAGACAAAAAGCAAACTGGTTTATAACATACAAATTCAACAATAGGCAAAGCATTTTTCTACATATATGCACTACTACACACCAGATGCTAGTGCTCTCGCTGTACCCCACAACAGCATGGCAACCTAGAGCTTTGGCATGAGATTTGATCTCCTGGCGAATCTCCTCCCACCAGGCATCGCGAGTCTCTGGCTCATCTGTAAAAAACAAAAGTCTGAATCACCCACTTTTCACAAGAAAAAATTCTGATTTGCTGAGCTATGTATCATAATCCTCACTGAACCCTTAAGTCTAGCTAATAATTAGATAACAATAAACCTAACTAACATTTGTCAACATAGTTGGATAAAAAACAATTTTGTATCTAAGGCTGTATCTAATCTGACTGCTTTGACTTACCAGAAGATTAATAGATAGCAAACAGTACAGTTTGTATATTCTGATGATTCATGGGTTAAATGGCGTATCAAAGCAAGCCAAAACCAACTATCAGTTCGTGAAACAAAGTGACAATGAGAATGATTTCATGAGAGTTTGAGGATGATGATGAAGGCAAAGTCAATGGTTATGTTAGTCATGTGTGTTCTCACTGGCTTTTCTTAAGTCTAAAACATCTAAAATCTCTCTATGTCTCCTTTCAGTCAGCCACACTAACAGAAAGGACACAGGTGAGAAACAAAGCCTGTTTGGGCTGTGGTGGTTTGACTATAGAAAGGAAATTTTGTTGGCTGGCTGAAGAGTAATTACTTAAAAGACACTGTTTCCAACCCTGGTGAGAAAGGTTTTAAATTCAAAAGGATTGAGCCTTCATCATACGTAGGCTAAACCATGGGTGTGTTTCAATAGTCTCATGAGGCTTTGCTCCATTAAGACCTCTGTTTTACTAAAATTGTTCAAAAGAGCCTAATCATTGCAAGTTGTGAGTTTAATCTCACTCATTTGGTAGTTCTGGATCACTGAACAAAGAACACATGAAGGAAGCAACATTAGAGTATTGAGTCGCACCCCATGACTCCCTGAGAGGGCCACATGCTGACAGAGCCCCAGAAAGAGAGAGAAACGCTGCTAGGAGAGACAGGGAGAGGAATGGATGAGGAGAACAGAACGGGAGATCAACTGAGGAGATGAAGAATAATGACTGGTGGTCAGGCATCAGGCCCACGAAGTGGGTTCCTTTAAACCAGAAGCAGCATGTCACACAGGCACAGGCTCACCAACGTGCACACTCATGACCATGTGCACGCTCAAGGACAGACAAGGGCCATATTCATTCACCAGAGTCATCAATTCTAGACTAGTTTTTAAAGATACGGACTGATATCATGCTTCCTTCCTTTCCCCCAGAGCTCACATCTTCCCTTCTACCCCATCATACATCAAATCAATTTTATTATTTTCCTCAACTGCCACCCATCCAATCAGCCTGCCTTCCATGCATCCATCCATCCATCCCTCCTTCTCTCTCTCTCTCTCTCTCTCTCTCTCTCTCTCTCCCAGTATGAATACGGCCCAGTGAGTTAAGGATGCACATGCCCGGTCAGTGGCTCTTTGTCACAGAGTAAACCTCCTAAACATCCTCTGGTCTAGAGAGGTTTGACCACAATGCTGATTCAGGAAGCGTTAGAACAGCGCTGGGACAACATTAGGGAAGAGCTCCAGCTCTTCTGTGCAGCAGGATGAGCTTTGGTGGGGAGAGGGGGGGAGGTGGGAGGGGGAAGCCAGGCCAGGCCGGATGGAGTGGGGGTGGGGACACAGCGCATGCTCAACTCAGCTCAGCACACACTCACACAGATTAGAGAGAGGAGAATGGCAGCTCACTGAATTCATCAAATTTCAATTATACACTATCCAGCTAAAATTTGTCAGTGGATATTTAGGCCAGCTGATCTACTTTGGTTAAATATCATTGTTGGGTTTAAGAGGTTTAACTTAACTGAGCTGCCATCACTCCTTTGGGTGATAGCAGTAAAAGGGGGGAAATACCTGCAGTGACACTATTCCAGTCTAGCAGTTTGTATGAGCGCGTGTTACCCAAGGCTGGGCCAGAACACACCGTTAGTACAGAAAAGAGAGAAAAAGAAAAGAAGAGATAGTCTAACAAACAAGCACAGCACAACAGCAGCACTCCACAGTCACTATGCAAAGACAGACAACACTACACAGTCACTATGCAAAGACAAACTATATTCAGGCCTACAAAAACAATCTTGAAAGAAGAACACCGACAAGGAAAAGAGGAGAATAGAGATGAGTAAAAGCTACAGGCCTAGCCGTTATCTTAAGAAGACTTGAGGAGGAATTAAGCAATTTAATAGAAAATAGGAGCATGCAGTAGCAGTCCAACTCTAGCATACTTTCTAAACTTAAAAAGGTACCCTGTGGAGTTTTCTTGCAAACAAACATTATGTCTAAATTCTGAGTTTCTTGCCAAAACACATGGTGTGTTTCCTTTTTTTAAATATATTGTTTCTGGCTTTTTATGTCTATAATGGATTGAGACAGCTGAAGGTATAAAGGAAAGGGGGTAGAGCGAGAGAGGGGATGACAAAGAGCCACAGACTGGAATTAAGCCCGGGCTGCTGCGGTAAGGACTCAGCCTTAGTACACAAGGCGCAATCTCTACCTGGTGAGCTATTGGGGTGCCCCCAAATAAATTGTTATGCCATTTTAATATGTTAAACCGCCCCCAATTGTCGTTCTGTGGAATAGCTTGAAGTATGTATCATATCACCCGCACACTCACACGTGCATGTTTGTCCTTAGTGCTCCATAGTGCTACTTGTGGTCAAAAACTCCACAGGGTACCTTTGATATTTGCTGTGTAGTTAATATAGTCAAGGCATAGCAACAGTGAACAGGGCTCTTTTCAGAATGGTGAATGCTGCAGTGTGGATCAAGAAAAACTTTGTGAAAGCTATGCAGTTTACACTAGTTTAGACAGGATCTGTGTTGGTCTAATCATTGCGTTGGTCTAATCATTGCAGGCCTAAGCCTTTTTGGAGATAGTCAGTAAAATCATTTTTGGGTAGCTTATTTTGGTTCCCCTGTCCACCTCTGAAAAGAACCCTGCTTATCCTAACCCAGCCAACATTCATCAGCACTCCCCTTTCCCCAAATTCTCAGACTTTCTTGATTCAGAGTAGTAAAAGACCATTAAACTGGGCAAATTACTGAGGCTGCCAAGTGGATTCAGACACCTACTATCGTGATGAGCAAATTTCGGGTTGTCATTAATATAAATCTCATTTAAAAAGTCTTTGTAATAGTCAAACACATATGGATTTTGACACAGAGATAAGAAGCGTATTTGAGACTCAAGGTGGGAGAGAGTCAGACACCACAGTACCTCACCACAGTGCCACCTGCAGCCAACAACATCACACAACAGAAGCAGCAGGCAACAGACTAGAGCCATGCACTACTATTGCACCTAACCTCCAGGGGGCAGCACACAAAACAGCCACACACACACACACACACACACACACACACACACACACACACACACACACACACAAACACCAAACACACAACACACACACACACACACACACACACACACACACACACACACACACACACACACACACACACACACACACACACACACACACACACACACACACACACACACACACACACGACTGAGACAGAGTATACATTACACAAAGCCAGTCAATCAAACCACGAGGTGAAAGTTGCCCCTATCCATGAAACTTTTTAACACGGGTAGTAGTAGCTTATCCTAACTTTATTTCCATCAAAGTGATACGAAGCTGCAGACTATAAGTGTGACCAGGAACAGCTTTCACCTGCTTTAGGACTCGTACATAACTGAAGTCTTTCAACATAATTGCTCTAAACAATAAAACAGATTGAGACTAGGGCCAGGAAAACTGTTCAGCACAACAGGATAATGGGCAGCATTGACTAACAGCCAGTTGCAACAAGACTGGACACTCACACAATACTGTAGGTCAATGGAGGACCTCACTCATATCATGTCACAGGACAATGGACGAGCTACATTTGGACACTGTGTGTTTGTGTGTGCTCAACTCACCGGGGTTGTGTATACGGTCCAGTAGTTTGACAGAGCGAGCACTGACCACTCCACCGACATGAACCAGAAAACCAGGCGGAAAAGACGTCAAGGTGAAGAAGGGGAACTCCTGCAGATAAAAAAAAACAGCCGTGTCACTTACAGTACACAAGCTTTTTACCAATGGATTTTTGCTAATAATAGTGACTGCTACATTATTGTAACACTTTTCCTTTTTCCCCCCATGACTTTAGGTCTATAATATCAGTGTCTGAGTTCAATTGTTACTTTATGTTGACTATTTTCAGATATTACTAAAAGACAGACTGTGCACGTGAGCACTTCAAGTTTTCAGGGCTTCAACAACAGAAATAAAAATCTGGGCTATAAAAACTAATTGTATGTAAAAACATTCACATAATCTTAAATCTTAACAGCGGCTACGACTACGAAAATAAAAATCTTCAAAACTGGAGACCAAACTTTAGATTCAGTTTCTTTAGGCGTATTACAAAATAAATGTCTTAAGTCCCAGACATTATGTACCTCGTCTTTAACTGATATGTGTAGACTTAGGTGATAACAGTGAAACAGTCAAAAGTACCAACATGCAGCAAGGATTGACAGTGATGGTGTCCCCCCCCATGCAAGGTTGACCCCCCTCCCCAAAAAGTCCCCACTCGGTCCATTCCAGCCTACACTCGTAGACACAAACTCAAGAGCATTTCAAATAGACCTGGAAGTGATTGAGCCTAGATATTGTGTATCACTGATTTAGTGATTCATTCAATCCTTTCAAATCTATATAAATGCACTAATTACGTTTTGGAGTTGAAAGTAAAGAGAACAAACACACACATAACACACTCCCAACGAGGACTTGACTGAGGATCTAGACTCTGTTTTACATGCGTCTCTCTCTGTTCACTAACATGACAGCTGGTCCTCTGCCTCCAGTCAAATAATGTCATGCAGTCACTTACGAGAGGAGCTGGAAATGCTTGGACTGTCTGTCAGCATTTGGTATTTATTCTGTTAAGTTGAAGTGATGGCCACCTTTACAGAAAACCTGAGGGACACTGATTTCCAAACATGCATATATATGAGATGAGAAGAATTTGGTGGGAATACCATTCTTTCTTGTCCAGTACTCCAGGAAGGAAGGACACTAATTTGAATGACAGCTCCTCCCATTCAGAGCAAGAGGGCAAGAATGAGGCGATGAAGTGAGCGTGCTCATTCCCGTTAATGACACAGGAAAACAAAATCTGACTTGGGGAAAAGAAGTCAGAAAGGGGGGAGGTGTTTGGAGTATCCAGAAGGCACACGCACACAGTCACACGTACCCTTCAAACGTGAAGGGAACACAACTCCTAGCCTCCAGCCCTCCACCTAACATGTCTGTGAATCTTTTAGAGCGCGGGGGGTGGCAAGCAAACACACAAACGGGGTCACACAAGGACCCACTGACATGTTGCTCAACCCAGCCTGCCCCCTCTGAGATCTACAAACAGCAGAGGACGGGGCAGGTTAGGAGTTGATTCAGACTTGGTGGTGGCCATCAGCTGGTCAGGGTGTTAGGGAAAGGGTAGAGAGAGTGAGAGTGTCACACTGATGGGACATACCCTGGCGTTTAACAATAACCCAGAGGAGGACGCTCCCTGAGTAGCACAAGTGGTTAAGAGGACAGAGAAAGGGAACATTATTTGCTCTTACACAGACGTACTCCCCATTAAACACTTAATACCTCACCAGTGTAAATTAGTGATCTTTCACAAAGAATGCAGCTGTGTAAATAGTGTGCGACACTGAGTAACTGTCTGACCTTGTGTATAGGCATCTGAGGCTGATATGCAGCACTGCATGTCAAAGCATAAACTGTCAAGAATGACATTCCTTAATCGCAGTTTTGACTTGTGTTACTAGAAATCTTTGGCTAGTAAAATTCAATGATACTGAACATTTTGACCTGCGTTTTCAGTCTCATATCTTTGCACAAGTGACTCTGTAAATATATTTATGAGCATGTGTGAATGTTGAGTGTCATCGTACCCTCTGCTCGAGAGCCGTCTGCGTCTGTTGTCTGAGCAGGGTCTTCAGAGGCCCCGCCTCCTTTCCAGCACTTCCCCCGCTGCCCATCCCTGATCAGAGAGGAGAGGCTGGCTTCAGTTTCATCACTTTCAACACACAGGTCAATGGACTACAAAGCCAGTCAAACTGTCATTGGATTATTGCATTGCAGTATTAATGTTTTTATGACAAGTCAAGTGAAAGCAACTGCTGGAGCTGCACACCATGCATTCAATAAACCTGCTTCACCATCATCCTAATAGGCTCACCTACTCTTAATTCAGGCTTCAATACTGGACCTAGAGTAAGGTTTGGGTACGCCTGGAAAACACATCAAGCCACATGCTGAGGTAGGAGTATCCCGAGTATGTAGTGATCAGTAGTGTTGTTTCACAGTGAGCTCTGGGCAGTTACACCTTGCGTGTTGAATTAATGTTTCCTGATAACACCAGTCAAGTGGATCTGGGTATGAACACGCCGGCTGTTGACCCAATATACAAGAGAAGCGCCAACACTACACTGTTGAAACGTGTTACTTGATGACACACAGCAGTCCTACTATACCGGAGGCTGCCAGCAGCAGGTCCTCGGTGAAGGACACGCTCTTTCTCAGCAAGGCAGAGTCTGAGCGGATGGAGGAGAGAGGGGGCGGGGTGGTGGCTCTGGGGGCAGAGCCGTGACCACAGCCCACTGAGCCAGAACCAGGAAGGGACAGAGTGTCTGTGGAGAGGGTGGGGGAGCTGGGGCAGAGGAAGATCCCAGGCCTGCGTCTCACTGGCTGGGCCTTCTCTATCCAGCAGAAACAAAACAGATGGATGGTGCACAGAGAAAAACAGAAATATTGAGAATGGACAGGCAGAGCAATGAGGAGAGTGGTCAGAAGCACAACAACTGAGGAGCGGTGAGAAGGATATGACAAGGAGAAAGTGGACACTGGCATAGAGGAAGAATAACCCTAACGCCTGATAATCAAATTGAATTGCTATTTTGTGGCGCTTTATTAATTCAGCATGAAATTATATTCATGTTAGCTGTTGAAGGGTGTTTTGTTTTGCTCTAACCATTCACCATGTAATGATCTCGAATCACTCAGTTGCGAGTGACGTATCCAGTTTAGAGCTGCTAAGAGCTTAATGTTTTTCAGAACAAATTTAGGAGTTAGAGTTGTGTCATTTCCGTAAGTCAACTTAAAACGACCTGTACAACTGCTCCAATCTCATCACACTTGCTATTTTTTCATGCATGTAGCTAGCAAGCTAAATGTCCACAAAGTTCTGGTTGGTTGGTTTCTTCAACTAGTGGAAATGGAAAATCAGTAGGCACAACATAAGACCTATTTGAATTGCAGATCAAATTGGAGCCAAGCTACAAAAAAAGAGGTGTGCAGGATAAAGATAGGCAAGTTGACACAAAGGGGCAAAAGAAGGAATGGGAGAATACAGGGGCAGGAGCAAAAAAAAAAAAAAGGGACACAAAAAATAGACAGAATATGAGAAATAGAAGAGAGAGAAGAGGAAATAAGAAAAAGGAAAGCAGAGGAGAGGGAATGAGGAGGGGAGAAGTGGGCTTGGGCTGCTGGTCTCCTCCTGAGGGGTCAAGCAAGCATCTCTGGTAAGAAGGTTCTTGTAGTTCTGCGTTAAAATGTGTTCAAGTTGTCCTTGGGGCAGAGTTTGACTACACTTACCTTTTCCTCAATGATTAACCATAATGGCTACTAATGAAAAAGTGACCTTAGATCAACAACAGCCCCTCATGAGACACAGTGCTTCCATTAAAAGACCACAACAAGGGGACAAAACTAATACAGAGATCTGGTGTGTCTTCATACTATTAAGCACATGTTTTACACAAACTAAAGGCTTTCCAATATCTTTTTTTAAATAGAGTGAGAAAAGAAGACACACCAGGCCACTGAGGACAAGGGGGAGGATGGGACCCAGATAAACAAATATGTACAATACCATTCACAATAAAATAATGTTCAACTCAACCATTAATTTTTTTTAAAAACAAATAAAGAAACAAAAATCTGAAAACCATCACCGGAGTAGCACCACAATGAGGTGAAGGAGAAGGGAGGGATGAGAATGGTAGAGGGGGATGGGGCCAAGTGTTCTTACCCGTCTTGGGCGTCAAACTGAGGTCTGTGTCTGATGATGAGGACTGGCGGCTGCATGGCTTGGAGGGAGAGAAGGGGGGAGGAGAGGAGGAGGAGGTGGGAAGGGCTCTGAAAGGGGTTGGCGGGCCAGAGGACGAGAGCAGGTCCTCACCAAATACCGGCCTGCCAGGAGAACATGACACAATACACACACCCACGTCAGTCACCACCTCACCCTGCGTGTGTGCATATATGGGAGTGGGTCAGTGTGGCCATTAAGTGGGATGGTGACTATTTTATTGTGTGATTTGTTTGTTTTGGGTGAGGTGCGTTTGAGGTGCTACGGATGGCTGGAGAACAAAAAAAAAAAAAAAAAGCAAGCGTGGAAAGCAAAAATTAGACAAACACAAAGAAACACACACAATAAACTAAAGAAAGCAACATGTCAAAACACAAGGACAGATTCAACAGAGGATGACGAGCTGAAGCATGTGTCCCAGTAGAGTGAAGCAAAGGTCAGGTGACTGTAGAGAGACCACAGGCCCTTCTTCAGGGCTAAAGCTACACCTTAAACATGTTTTCGTTGCAAACAGCCAATAGAAATGCTGAATGACGCAACTGGGAACCTGACTGTCACTCCTTATCGTTGGAAAAAGACGTGACACGTGGATGGATCTTTCTTCGACAAAAGGTAAAGGGGTCTGCCTCCTTTCAACAGCCTGATGCCTCCGTCTACACCATCGCTTTATTGCTACTACATGGCTGTCTCTACCAGACTCCAGCAAAAATATATTCACTTTTCTACTTCCATATAAAACATCATCATGTACTTCTCTTTGTATTTCAGAGTTCTCTTTCTCCTGTATCTATTTCCTTCCCTGCCTCTGCGTACCAGTGAAGATGAGTGTGGGAACAGAGACAGAGAAGTTCTGGGACAGTCTCTGGGAGCTGCAGGCCGAATGCACTGGGCTGTTGTGGGTGGAGCGGCATCCGTGGGCAAGGGGGGACCTGGGCCAATCAGCACGCAGAGAGAGGAAGACAGAGGACCGATTTGGACACAAGCAGTGAGAAACGTCCCGAGTCAGAGAGGAAGAAAAAGACACACACAAAAACCAACACCACAACATCGCAATAGAGTGAAAAAGGAAACAAAAAAAAGGAAAAGAAGTTTTTACTCCCTTTCTTTGCCTCGGCAGAAAGCTCATGCATAGCCCTCAGCTAAAGATCAGTCTCACACAAACATACACAACAGGGACGGAAACACAACAGAAAAAGGTGACAAAAGGCCCAAACAGGCACAGGGACAAGCTGACCTGTAGAGAAATTCTTAAATGTATCCCAATGATTATGTTAAATTTAATTAAGTTTGATAATGGATTTGTTGTTCAAAAAGGTAGAGTGTGTAACATTTAGGAGGATCTATTGGCAGGAATGAAATAAAACATTCATAGATATGTTTTCATTAGTTTATTAACGACATGTGTTTTAGTTACGTTAGAATGAGCCGGTTTTATCTACAGAGGGTTCGTTGGACTGTTGTTCAGACATAACAGGCAATCTGAAAACATATTTTTGTGAAATTATGATGGGCATGTGTCACTATTTTCTGACATTTAATTTTTGATTTATTATTTTTATTTAACCCTTATTAAGCCAGGTGAATCCCACTGAGGTCTGAAACCTCTTTTGCAAGGGAGATCTGGCCAACACTGCTGCAGCATAAATAGTTGCAGACAAGAGAACAGAGACAAATAAGAAAGGAGTCATGTACCCTCAAATATACAGTAAAATATTAACTAATTGATTAATTAAATTACATCAATAGATACATTTGACAATAAAATATTCATCAAATAATCTACTGTATTTCTTGTCATCACCAAAGTGTTTACATCCCTGAAAGATACAATCTCACACACAGTCACTGACACACAGATACATTGAATAAATGCAAATAAGAAGCACACATGCACTCAACTATAGTTATGCTCACAGTCACTGAATGATATCACAAGCTAACTCAATAGCCACGGTGAGGACGACAGAACAAAATGAAGTGAGTGTTAGAGGCAGAGCAGGACAAGTGTGCTAGATACTCACTAAAAGGCGGCAGCACTAGAACATGCAGAGGCAGAGCAGAAAGCCATGCAAGAGCGGTCTAAAAGAGTAGACAAGGGAGGAGGGGGGTTGAGGATGGCTGTGTGTGTACTGTACGTGTGTGTGTCTCAGGATATGCTGTGTGCTGTTAGTTTCATGATGCAATACAGGTGACACATTAGACTCACAAACAAGGGAAATCAAAGATACTGAGACACACACACACAGGAGTAAGTGCTAGACTATAAAACAGACACAACATACAGTACATTTTGTCCACACACTCTCCCTCTCGTGCACACACCGATCATCTTTCCGCATTCTCACAAAACTAGATTTGTAGTGAAACTTGCACATAAAAAAAAAAGAGGCAGGGTCCATGCTTGTGTTGTTGGTTCATACTCACTCCTTTCCATCCTTGGAAGGGGAATTGCAGGCGTTGGAGGCAGGGGCTGTGTTAGGGTGCATGTGTGTGTTGGTGTTGGGGGCGCTTCCAGAGCTGAGTTTGTCCAGTGTGCAGGCAGTACCTATGGCCCGGACCACCAGGCCAGACTCGCCCTCCAGGTCAAAACACTGCAAGTAGCCCACCACTGCATTCCCGCCCATCTCCAGTACCTTAAGCCCTATTTTCCTCTGCAGCTCTCCTAAATGAGGGGTAACACACAGCCACATTAACAAGAGAACGGGGAGGATCAAATTCCTATTCCTCCTCACCGACATGTAAAGAGGATCACTGAATTTTCTTACCAGACATAAGAGATATGAGCCTCTGACGGGCTTCATTGGAGGCCCGAGGAGTTCGAATACGGTCGATCCACTGGTACTCTGGATCTTCATTCACCACAAGTTCCTCCACAAACCCGTGCACCATCGCTGCCCGGTAGCACCGTGGAATGGATGTGGCTGCCATACACAATTAGACAAACACCACATAGAGTAAAATTATTTTAGATTTCAATGGAAAAACTTCTCTTCAACTTTTATTCCATTTTAAGTACATATTGACAAGTGACAATTTCTATTTTACAGTGCACAGTTGGCACTGACACAACTTCTTGTAGGAAATTATCTTATTTTTATGTTCTATCAACTTTATGCCTAAAAAATAAAAATTAAAAATTAAATTGTCCACAAATTAAACACCTTTCTTGCACCACTTCATGTGTAACTTCCCTATGTATAGTCTAAATCTGAAATTTATGTACACAAATTGTGTCTTGTGATGTATTTTTAACCTGTAAACAAACAACTGGAAAACAAAAGTCAAATCAGACGTACTGCAGAAGAACTTGACCCCGCAGGAGGATTGTCTGAAGCGGTTCAAATCATTAAAAAGCTCCACTTTGACGAGAACATTTATCTCCCCTCGGATACCTAATGAGAGAATTATAGAGAAACACATACACACAAATCTTCTAATTAAGGAATAATACATAAGGGGGAAAAAATGTGCAATTATCATGGTCAGATTAGTTTGTACCGTGGATGGTATCATAGATGGGAAACCAGCCGGAGATGACAGACGCAGCCTCACTGCACAGCAGCGGATCAATGTCAATGTAAACTTTCCCTATGGCATCATTAGCACTATAAGTGTCGTGGTCCAACACTGTGACCTGCAAAGGCTCATCCTGCAAGTCCTCATCGTCAACCTGGACAGCAAGAAGAAGAAGAGCAAAATAAGACAAAAATGGAGCAGAGGTGAGATTGTACGCAGGGTTACAAATACTGCAATTAAAACGCAACTCATCCACAGTATGTGTTGCATCAAAATACCATTTTTTAAAGGGAACTGCACGTTTTACCTCAAATTTGAACCACTCTGAGTTCCACTGTGGATTGAGGGATTTGGGACAGACATCGGTTTTGAAAGTTGTGTTTCCAAACTTAACCTAGGGAAACAAAAAGACACAAGACACATATTTTAAACGCCTAATCATGATGTAATGATGATGTCTTGCTATTCAAGCTTCACTCACCTCTACAAAAGCATCAGTAAGATCACTGGCTCTGTCCATCACAGGCAAGTGGCGCCCTGCCACAATCCTGGCCTTTAGTTTTCCAGGCATGATTCAACTGCAAGTTGATCTGTAAACAAATCATAACAATAACAAATAAATGTATTTCAGCTACTGTAATCAACGCTGCTGTCACTAACAACAGTGTAGACTGAAGAGTGGGGCTCTTAAGTAACGTGGGCATATGTTGTTGACAGTGTGAAGAGCTCCTTATCTTATTTACATGCTTCAAGCTAATAAGCTAGCTTCCCTCAGCCGTACACGGATTTAACATTTCCAGCTGAACTCTTAACTTATCGACTCAGTTCAAAGTTATCTATTAAACTACTGTTTATGAGCACGACAGCAACTGTGGGTTAGCTAGCCTAGATTGTGTTAGCAAAGCAGGGCTAGCAAGAAAAGCCACTTAGGTTAACTGCATTGCAGTCACAATCTCCTTAGCTCTACCTGATCGGCCATGTTTTTACAATCATACAGCAAAGCCACCACCCATATGACAACAACACTATCTCCTCTCACTCCCTGCGCAGACAGTATCATCCTTACCAGTGCTGTAATATCAAAAGACAGCTGTCAAGGCGGCAGCAGGCTCTTTTAACTCGGACATTACTGTTGACAGCCCACCGCTCGTCTGACCTCCGTGTCTCTCCCATAACACGTAGTTCCCGGTACACCGAGCAGGAAAAGTGCCGTTCAAGTTAGAAAATATTCATCAGCCGATATTACGGCTAAAGTCGCTAGATACACGGCTGTACGGGTGTACAGGTGTGGTTACGACCGACTTGTCGAGCCTTTACACATGTCGCTGGTTAGCGCGTAAAGCCAACGGTTGGCTAGATGACGGTACAGCCATGATGAATGAGTATTCAGCATTCAGAGCGTTAAGCGTGTGCCGTGTTCACGTACACCTCGTAAGCTCGTACTTAGATTTGAAATGCTACACTGATGTTCCTCCGGTTTGGAAAAAAAAAAATCTTTGGATAACTCTCATTGGTAACATTTGATGAATATGTAGATAGACTAGAAATAGATTTTGGTCGGTTTCGCCGTGTGTTACGTAGCTACATACTCAGATAAAAGCCAGTATTCCGAAGCTACCCTAAATGCAGCGTTTGTCAATGGACATGCGCAATGTTAACAAGGTGACACTAGTTGTAGGAAGCATGTATTCAGCTTTTGACATAGCTAGATGTAAGGCCTTTAAATATGTTATGTATAATGTTATTAGTCAGTTATATATATAATAATAATAATGATATTTAAAGTACATTTTAATTTTGTCAAATTGATACAGACATTGAAAAGTATGTGGATTTTATAATCTTTTTAAGCACAGCACAAAAAAAAAACAGGATGGTAGCTGAGGCCTATTTGTCACAAAATACTGAGCGTTGTGCCAGGTGGATTTGTCTGAATTAAATCTGAGTCCCCAGCTTGTCACCTCAGTATGGGGGAAGCGAGACCATAGGTTGGTATTTTTGGTCTGTACGTATCTGTGAAGACAAATGCCTGTGCCATCCCTGGAACTATGCAGAGGGAGTCATCACTCAAGATTAAGTTACACATGTATGACCATCACATCTTAATAATGACCTCTTCTCACCTGGGCCATTTTAAAGGTTACATTTTCCCCACATAGCTGTTTAACATAGTTTCTTGTTCATTACAATATGTGAAATATAATAAATAATTGCAGAAGGACAGAAAGATGACAAGGGAGTGTTTGATCCCGAAATAGTGCAAAAGTTGCATGCAGTTGGGGGCTACACTGAACCTGCCACTATATTAAAACACAACATGCTTTTGTTCGTGTAGGCCCACAAAACATATCATCACTCTCCCAGAAATGAAGCATGTCAGAGGAGGGTGACACCATGAAGGTCAGAACTTTCCAACCTGGTAACAGCTATGTGCTATAAAGAAAAAAATAAACATTGAACCAATATTTATGTTCTACATCATCCTTTATACATTTTGATCATGTCACAAAGCATGTACACATTTTGACCTGGAAGTTATTTAGTCACATGCATGTAAATGTATTCTGTTTTCAGTTCAAACAAACATATGTGACTTAAACTCGTCTCATCTTTAGAGTGATGCCAGATCATGACGTGTTTTCCTGGTAATGCGACATAAACATGTAACAAACCCATTAGAAATAAGAGAAATATTAGTTCTGTGGTTACAGTGGTACTATTACCTCACATCAAAGCATAAGTCAGGTGAAGTAGACCATAACCTGTCTTCTCCCAATGCATTCTGGGACTCCAGCCTGTTTGTTACCCTGAAAAACAAAATACAGGTATGAAGAATGGATGAATGTTGCAGGTTGAACCTTTAGTGTTGTTGTTCAAATCTGCGCAGTGGTCATATTACACAGAGCTGGTGCACATATCCCAGTGGTAATACATTTAAACAAAACTGAAGAAATGCTCTTTACAACAGTCACTTGTTGTTTCTTGCTATTCTTGGCCTGAATTTCATCTTATTGTGTGTCAGATACACACAGATTTGAATAATTTTATTTCAATTTCTGTTTTATTTATGGATGATAAAAACTTTGATGCTTGGGAAGGTTGTGTAATACTGCTTTTTCATCATTATTCAACACATTGAGCAGATGGCAGCAGCAGGCTAAAGACTTGACTTATCTTATATAATATCTTAACATCTACTGGATGAATTTGTCCAAATTTTTGTTCAGACATTCATGACTCCCAGATGATGAATACTTCTGACATTAGTGAACGCCCTGACCTTTACTCTAGGTACCACAAGGTCATCTAGTAAAATCTCTCAACAACTACTGGATGAATTTCCATTAAATTTGGTACACACATTTATGTCCTCCTCAGGATGAATTGTCATAACTTTAATGATCCCCTGACTTTTCCTCTTGTGTTATCTCCAGGTCAACATGTACATTTTTCTAAAACCTTATGACTAAACAGGACTACCTGTAAAACTACTGACAGCCTCACCTGTACTTTATGTTTTGTCCTAATTGGCAAATGTTAGCTTTCTAAACTGAGTATACATGTTAACATTATACCTTCTAGATATCAGCATGTCAGCATTTTCACATGTTAACGTGCCGAAGTTAGCATTTAGCTCAAAGCGCCACAGAGCTGAGGTACCTTGGATATATGTGTTTAATAGTTACTGAGGGGGTGCACCACATTGTGAGGATGCCAGACATAGCACCAGAAAGGTTATTAAATATCAGCATGACATCTGCTGTGAAGCAACAGTAACAGACACAACAATCATGTATGTTGGTCTTGTCTTTAGCTGCAGTAGGCTATGCTCAAAAGTGTCTGCATATTAAAAATTAGGGCAACAGGGACTCATACAAGTTCATAAATGTGTTACATACACAGGTACACTGTGAGGAATATTGTAAAAGTGTTTTCTGTTATTGCTCTCAGGGGACACAGTCCAGGATTTGGATGAACATTAGGCAAACGGTTTATTTTAGTTGTTGGACTGGGATCCATTTTGATTGTTAATAGGACCCTATACTTTCCAACAAAGGCAATAATCACATCTGTCAGTGAAGAGTTGTTGAGTTAACAAGCGGAGCTTTCCCGTTAATCCTGGTGACCAACCAATAATTTCTGACTGAGAGGTGGGAGGCGTCACAAGGCCAGCTATTAGAGTAGCTGGGAAAAGAGAAGACATCTCACTAGGTCCTTCTTTCAAGGTACCACAGATGTCATCCTGCTTCCTCTTGACATCATTTGAGATCTGTCTGGATCAAAAAACGTCTAACGTGGGAACAAATATTAACATTCAGAGCTACAAGATGTATTTCTTTACAGGAATTGATGATCTTTTTATTAAAACCCAACCAGAAATCAAACCAGATTTTTATGAAAGCAGAATATAACTGTGCTGTTACTTTCACTGTGTTAGTGAAGTGGCTTACACCACAAGTTAAGTCAGATTTCATAGCCCAATGTCACAGAATCACACATTTGCCTCAAGGGACTTTACAGTCTGTACAACATACAACACCCTCTATCATTAGACCCTCAATTCAGATAAAGAAAGACTCCAAAAAACTAAACAATGGAAGAAACCTCAGGAAAAGTGCAACAGAGGAACGATGCCTCTACCAGGACGAACAGACATGCAGTAAATGTTGTGTGTACAGAAAACGACAAACATAGCAAAATTACAGTATGGATTGTAAACATACATGAAGAATTGATCCTGGAGGATAAGGAAGTGTTGGCTTTGTATTCTGAGGAAAGAGGGAAATCTTAAAATGAATGCTGGGTTCACACACACACACACACACACACACACACACACACACACACACACACACACACACACACACACACACACACACACACACAGATGCAAAGAACCTGAAGAGTCAGTGGAGTGATTCATCTTCACAATAGAGGATCTTTGGTGCATAAGTCTGACATACATAAGCAAACTGCTGTTAAATCCATTCTGCTTTTACATTGATGCATGTTCTGATACTGGAGGTCTCATTTTCTGTTTATTGCTGGACTGTTTTTCTTTTTCAAATCTAACAGCATCCTGTTTTTCTCTCTCAAAGGTTCAACTATGTCTGATGAGTAAGTTCTGTCATCACACAAGCTTAAAAGCTAATTTTTCCAAAGTGTTTATTGCCCTATGAATCATTTTTGTCTCAGAATAATAACAGTTTCTCTTGTTTAATCTTGTATCTGTTTCCACATGGCCATCACAGTTATGTAAGTTAAAGCCTGCATGTCTTACCATGTTATCTAACCTAAATCAATGTGAATACCGTTAGAGTTTGATGTTTAATGTACCTTAAAATCCTTCTCTTTATTGCTTTCTCCTCAGTACACACCAGCACCCATGGCCCCCAAGGCAGAGGCAAAGGTAGTAATAGGCTACTTATTTGAACTGACAATGTGTTTATGAATAATCGTAGATACGTGTTTGCATATGTTAATGACTGAATCTTTTCACTCTGCTTAACAGCTTCACTGGGAGAAACGAAAGGGGCTATCTCGCGACAAAATAGGATGCAATGTTTAAAATATAAACTGAATTCTATATTATCATGTTTATACTGTAATGGTACTATTTCATATGGACACATTACCCCTTTCCTTTCATGTAATTACATTATATATTTCCTTCTTTACAAAGATCAGTACAACAAACACAAAGAAATAATGATAATAATAATTAAGCTATGACCTTATTAATAATTTCAGGCTTAAAAGATGAATAGAGTTTGGGCCCCTGGCGCCCCATGTACCAAGTCCTTGCTGCAGCGGCCATGGGTTAGACTCTGACCTGTGCTGCGTGTCATCCCCTCTCTCTCAGCTGTCACTATCCATTTAGGGCAATAAAAGCCCCCCAATAATTTTTTAAAAAGGTGTATAGAGCATGAACTGAGCTATTTGCTTGCTTATCTAATTTAATATCACAAGCACCATGTTGTTGTGTTGCTTTCCTTTTGATTTTACCAGGTTTTGAAGTAGAAAAGGTTAAATACTGTAAATAGTAAACTAAAGGTTTGTTCAGTGTCGTATGGGCAGATGTATTTATTTGAACATTTGCAGAGTAAGGAGATGTTCATTTAGACAAGAAAAATTAACTCTTTTCATAGCTAAATACTGAGCAGTATATACTGCTGCTGTCTAGTGAGAGGCAAATAGTGAGTGAGCAGCTATTTTAAAAAGAGGTACGAAACTAGGAACTTATTTTAGCTATTGCAGGTATATTTAAGTTGCATCTTTATGGCTAAAAGGTCAGGTGTGATATATGTCATATTTTGTATTATTTACAGCCCAAAAGCAAGATTTCGGCCTCCCGAAAGCTCTCTTTGAAGGTAAACACTTGCATGTGTTAACTTATTTCCTTACAAACACCATGTGCTGACTATGCACCAAAGTGTCACATACTAATCTCCATTATAATTTTGACTCATCCAGATCCTCTTGCTGACTCGTGCAACGGAACAGCTGGAGGCAGAGAAGGCTGCAAGAGAGGAAGAGAAAGTTCGCTACCTGGGAGAGAAGCTTCCACCATTGCAGCTTACTGGTTTAAACATGGACGAAATGCAGGTGAGACAGAAAACACACAGTAAAGCATACCAGGTTATGGCCCCGAAGACTAAAACTATAAAAGAGAATCTTTTTCTGGTAACATTTGTGCTGTTTTTTTGTAGAAATTGTGTAAGCAGATCCATGCAAAGATTGATAAGGTGGATGAGGAGCGGTACGATTATGAGGCCAAAGTCATCAAGAACAACAGAGATGTATGTCGTTCACCATGACACAGAGGATTTAAATGAAAAACATTGAAATAGTAGTACATATATAAAAAGGGTTCCTTATTAACAAAAAAGTCACCAGCTAAGCTTTTCACCGTCTCTAGATCAATGAATTGAATCTAAAGGTGCAGGACCTTGGAGGGAAGTTCAAGAAGCCAGCTCTGAGGAAGGTGAGAGTGTCAGCAGACGAGATGTTGAAGGCTCTCTTTGGATCCAAAAACAAGGGCTCCATGGACCTGAGGGCAAACCTCAAGTCTGTAAAGAAAGAGGATATCAAACAAGAGAAGGTACGGCTACTCAAGCAGATATACAGGTATCCAACATTTTTTTTAAACTGCAAAAACATAACATTTGTGTGTGTGTTTTGTTTCTTCAGGAGCTGAACTTGGAGGTGGGTGACTGGCGTAAGAATGTGGAGGCCATGTCTGGTATGGAGGGCAGGAAGAAGATGTTTGATGCATGATCTTATATAGAAAGAACCAAATTCAAATTGGAATAGTATAACAAAATGCACAATTTAAAAGAATTGAAATGACGGTATGCCTTGAAGGCTCATGTTTGATGAACCTCAGCAGTGAAATATAAACAGTAGAGTGACTGTAGGTTTGCCTCACAACAGTACTTCCTGCACAAAACTTAGTCTTTGGCAGTTTTTTTTTTCTGCATTTAGAAGTTGTTTTGGTAACAGTGTAATAATACGCATGACTTTCAAATCAATGTAGTTTTTATTCTGTTGTCAAGTAGACCACTTGTAAAATAGCATTGTGAATACACAGTATATTACTGCCTGATAATGCTGTTGTGTAAAAGAATACAATAAATGTTTACATATTGCCTTTCCTTTTGTTGCACTTACCAATATTCACGATAAACTAAATGTAGCCTCTACTCTAATGCTGCAGCACAGAACAAGTTTAATATTGGTGGGATTTAAACTGACTTAAATATTGTACAGATTGAATTTTATTTGTAATTGCAACGCTCTTGACATTATCCTTTGTCACGAAAAGGATACTGAAGCTGTTTTTGCATCTACAGTGTCTCCGCTAAGCTATGCCATAGACTTACAGTGACAAAACACCAGAGATATTTTCTGTCAGACCAAGGATATACTTACCCCCTCCTCTTGACTGGAATGAATTCCTCTACAAGAATAAACAGTAAACACCATCTCACACACACTCTGTCCTTGAACTGACATCAAAGAGTGTCAGTAAGACAAAGGTTGAATGATGGAGGGTGACGGGACGGAGTCTGCAGCCTCCAAGGAATTTATGAGTGCACATGAGCATCTGCGCAAATACAGTATGTGCTTGTGTGAATGCCAGGGCACAGTCAGACTGTTATTCTTAGTAAGTAGAGCATTTTCATCACAACTGTAAAAGCTTATGGTCCTTACTGCTTCTTGTGTTTCTCTTAAGTTGCCCTATTGAGATAAGAGTGTTTGCTAACACATCCATGGTACCTCAGAAACCCCTCTGTATCTGAGCCCTTCAATCATCCGCAGTTAATTGCAGGACTCCTCAAACTGCAGGAACCCATGACAGAATATAATCACTATACTGTGATTACCTTTGACTGTAATTGGACTATATTTTGGAGAGATTTAGTAATACATATATATCGTGCTTAACATTCAGGTAGAAAATTAGCAAAAGACCCACACACAGGGAGATTAATTGTCCTTTTATTGTCCTGATAACATTGGTGGCATTTTCTGCCATTGGCTGCATGTGTGCTGTTCTGACACTGCTGAATGTGATGAATACTAAAGATGTGTTAATAAGCCACATGTCAATTTACATCTCCTGTGAATTCTACAGTGGAAAAACTGAATGAAAGGTTATAAAACTGCAGAACTTGGTGGTCAAAATGTCAGTTGTCGTTTGCATAGGACTGTGTACAATACTATATATATAGTATTATGTTAATAGTATATAATTGTATTAATTAATTATATTAGTATATAGTATTTATGCGTTATGCCCTTTGCATGTTTACAGACACCCATTAAACAACAGGAGTAAAAATGGAGCTGCGTTCTTCAGTTGACAGTTACCGGGACATTAAGTAAAGCCACTGCAGACCAGCGACTATTATTATTTATTCTTTCAGGTGGGTAAATATAATAATAATATGCAAATGCAATGTTTTTGATCACTCAGTAAGAGAGCCATTTGCAGAGCAAATTTTATATTTACTGTTTAGTAGAAAATAGATATTGACACTCTGATGACTCTGATGATTCTGATGATACTGATAAATAGTTATGATGATAAAAATTACATTACACGTAGCGAATACTTGTTTCGGCCGAGTACTGGCTCAACCCTTTATAGGAGGAAAATAGAGAAATAATCAAATTAAAGAAATTAATTTTGTAGCTCCAGACAGATGTTTTTTTGATAGTAAAAGTTGCTGACCCCTGCCATAGACCAAAGTGATCAGTCAATTTAAAGTCAGAATACGCAAATTAAACTCAACAATGGTGATCTTGAATCTTGTTTCACACACTGTGATAACCTCTTATCATTCATTCTAGTTTTTGTGGTTTTGTTATTTAAAGTCATAAACATACAATTAATAGCCAGAAAACCTCAGTTTTATAATATCAGTTGGGATTCTTGAAGTTTGTCTGAGTCCACTATTTGCAAAACATATGACTCTTAAAAAGTACATGAAATCAAAAGGAAGGCAAAATAGATTTATTCCTCAGATTTGTCAAGGCAGTGTAACATGGAAAAACTGTCCCTGAGAGTAGAGACTCCAGAACCGTACAATAAGGCAGAGGTTGACTCCCAACACAAAGAGAGGGATGAGGTATATCTAAAAACAATACAGTTAGAGATGAAGTAGTTGTAAAAGATGAAAGGGGAAAGCATCTAGCATTCCGGCCAAACCAGAAACCAAATGGGCCAATGCCTCCGTAACATAAAAAGGGAAAGAAAAAACATCACACAATTCTTGCCAGTGGTCTGGTTTCAGGCCAGGATTGTGTTTTGTTTTTAATCGCACATGACAAGTGAAAACGATTCAACCTGTATCAATGTCAGAAGACAAAGAAAGGCACAACAAGTTGTTAAACCGGAATGTTAACAATCATAAAATGCTGCCCTTGTCTTAAATAACAATAGAACAATATTATAAACACAATAAAGATTTTTCACTAACCACATTTCCTGACTAGGTTTTGAGATTCAACAAAACAATTATTCTTTTGAAAAAACAAACTAATAAATTCAGCAGGTAGATCTATAAAAACAACAAGAGCTGGCAGCATTAAAAGTTACTGACTAAAATGCCCCTTAATGCTGTATTTACACAGACATGTTCAATAGCCCGTCATGTTTAAAACCAAACTTTTTCAGCACAGGAACCTTTGAACTAGGGTTGCAACTAACTATTATTTTCATTATCAATTATGCTGCAGAATCTCTTCTAGATTAATCAATTAATCGCTTGGTCTATAAAATGTCAGAAAATAGTGAAAAATTGTCCACCCCCATTTCTCAGAGTCTTTAAATGTCTTATTTTGTCAGTGCAAAACCCAAAGATATTCCATTTAATGATCGAAAACTGAGACAAGTGGGAAATCTCAACATTCGAGAGGCTGAAAACCTACTAATCGCTGCAGCTCTACTTTCAACTATTACCTTTGCTAGGTGGCAGTGTAGGGAGAAATATCAAAAACTAACATGAATGCAATGTTTGTGTTTTTGTGATATTTGATTACTGTTTCATATGTCTGTAATATGTTGCCTGTTGAACTGACTCCTTCTCTGATGAAACTAAATGCTACAATCATGAAAATCCCTTAAATATTGTAATAATTAATCATTATTATTCCAGTTTAAGGCTTTTCCTAACTCGTCTGTTAAAAACAGCCCTATGTGAACCCAGTACCTGAATAACAGTCACAACAGAAGGCACAATTAATATGAATGAGAACAAATAGGGAGGGCACTCAACAGCAAACTGAGGTACACTTGTCTGAAATATTACTGTTTGTAGAAATAACATTAAACTCAAATGAAAAATAAAATCCTACAAACATTGATATAATAAATATAAAGTTTTTCATAATTTACAACATGACAAATACGGCTGTGTTTACCACAAACACAATCTGTAGTCAAAGACAAACAAAACAAAATGTTTTTTTTCAGTTAAGACTCATGTGCAAGACGTGTGATCTTTTTGATATATACGACTGTGAGTATACATCTTCGGAGTGTGTCATTTAATTTACGTTTTTGTCTTTGGATAATATCAGTTCCTTTGGATCAGGTCAGTCAGGCAAATCATCGTGGCGCACCACAGTCTCTTCATATGCAATATCACACAGTGGCACTCATCAACCAGTACCCTTTTAGTAGTCAAAAGTACATCCAGTGAAATAAAGTCAATCAGTAGTATCTCCTTAGCAACAACCTTCACTGCTGCCACTTGTACCCTGCCGTTTCACAGACTGAGGACAGTGTCCCGTCCGGTGTCATCATCCTCTGTAACCCTCTCTTTCGGTCAGCAGGTATTACAAATATGTAGCAGGAATAATGCTCCGGCCTTAAAGTGCTCTGGTTGCCGTGGTTGTAACCGCGGCGACTGTGGTCATGGCGGAACAAGGTCACCTGTGTCTGGGCGACATCTGCCGGTTCCACATGCCACGTTTGGAGTGATAGTGGTGGAAGAAGTTCCTCAAGTAGATCCTCTCCACTTCCAGCCCTGCCTGGAGGATCCTGGGACAGAGAACAAAAAGGAGAGGTTGTTTACTTACTTTTCATTCTGTCAGCCTTTAAGGCAGTGGTTGTCAAACTTATTAAAGCTGCATGTTGATGTGTCCTTGGGGAAGATACTGAACCTCAAAATGTGTGAGTGTGTGTGAATGGGATTATTTAATTCTTGATGAGCAGTTGGCACCTGGCATTGCAGCCCCTGCCCTCAGGGTGACATGTAGAAACTAGTCACTAAATACAGTAAATGAAAGTTCAATGAATGTTTTTGTTGTTCCGTTTATGAACGGAAATTACCAATTTTGTTTTGGCCACTTGAAAGTGGAAACCAGTTGTGACAAATCACCATCTTTTAGGTTGATATGATGAACTTGTGAGCAAACAGTTGCCTATTTACACATCCAGCAGTTACAGAGCAACATTATCTTTCATTTGAAGTGTTTCCAGCCACTTGATGAATGTTAAGTCCAATATTCACTCTGTTAGCTCTGTCTTTTGGTCTCTACCAATTCCTGAAGTATATTTCTGCCTCTATAGCTGCTAAATGTTCCACTATGTTAATGCTAACTGTGTCAGTCTTCTGAGCCAATATTGTACAGTGGGTTTTTTTTTTAGAGCTTTTTCACTGAAAAACATCTGCCTGCTGTGGCCAAAAATAAAGCTATGAGCAGTGAGAGTGAACAAAAACAGTGAAGTTGTGGGCCAGACAGCTAAATAATGAGCTAAACCTCACTTTAAAGCTTATTCAGATTCAGATGATAATTTGCGGAAGTTTAATCACATCAAGCACTTTGTATGTGGAAAACTTAGTGTGCCACAAAGCATGTCACGTTACTATGCCAACCGACAACCAGGAGCTGAGTCTAAGCTGAGGAAGATTTTAAATGAAGACAAATGCAAACAAAAACTAGTACTAAACTTTGTAGTAACAAACAAGTCTGTTGATTAAGTGACATGTAGAAACAACGCACCTGTCGAGGAGCTCCCAGTCTTCTCCTCCCCAACGGTCTGTGAATTCCCTGGTGTTCATTCCTCCGACTGTGTCCAGATCGGACTTATAGATCCCCAGCAGACCAAAGCCATTGACCTCCCAGTATCCTGCAA